TCACAGGAAGGTGGTTATCACATGTTAATATTATTTGTCATACTATGTGTATACGAGACACCCATCGGAGACGTTTATTGGGCTGCCATACACCTCAGGTTTGCTCCATAGATATACTTTACGGTGCTAAATTGGGAAGTTAACCAGAGATAGATAGTCCACAGCTTAAAAAGGGTATTAACACGTACCTCCTCCCCCTCCCCCCCCCCAAACCCATCCCAGCCAGTACTTCATCTGCCTCAGCCGCGTGTAATAGGGACCTTAATAAGCAAGCAGAACTTTGTCATCCAGGACATTAAAAATGGAAACTGGAAGTGGATGTTTTCTGTCTTTCGGTGCTCTGACTCAACAAATTCGCACAGTGGAAGGTAAGAGGAAGAATTCAGATTCGTTGTGTGAGACAGAAGCGTTCCATCAAGCGACGGTCAGCGTTCTCGTTGCTTAAGTTCGCTATTATGTTTGACACGAAAACACAATGTGTCATAGGCTAAAGATAAAGAAAGGTTAATTAGATTAACATTTCAAGGGTGTTTTCTTGTTTCTTTAATTATTTCTCTGGCTTTTTATTTATATCACGATTATATCTTTTTCTTTTCATATCTCTATGCACTGTTTATATTCCCCTTCCTATTCCGGTTCCTATTCTATTTTTTCCCTTATTTTTCGTATATAATCTGAATAGGAATTAAATCCAGATTAACTTAAATTAAGGTAAATGTTGTCCCTGCTTTTATATAGGTTTCTATTCCCATTCCGGTTCGTATTCCGGTTCCGGTTCCTGTTCCTGTTCCTATTCCCGTTCCTATTCCGGATTCCGGATTCCCGCTTTTCCAGACGCCCATCAGAAAGTGACTAAGTTGGGATTGCGAAAATTACTTTTTTCCCAAAGTGACTAAGCTGAGATCTATAATATGGCCACAGAATAGACTATAATGCTATAATGGGAGGCCAGCAGCAAACACCCAGCAAAAATTAACCCAAGTAACCCCCCGGGAAACCCCTTGCCCTTTCATGTACCATTTTTGACACAAAAGGTAGCCCTTTCGTGTATCTTCTGTTTAACAAATAGAACCCCTTTCACGTACTTATAGTTTATAACTTTGCATTCCTTTTAATTGCTTTAAATACACTGTCTGTTAAACATGAATTAACCACAAAACCAGGGCGTTGTCTTGACTTTTTCAACGCCATAAAATGCGTGTGTATGTTAGCCGTGTTAGGTCCTTTTAACGGACCAAACTAATAGATTTCCCTACCTTTCAACCAGTGAAATCCCTACCCTTTTACTCTTTGAAACCTGAAAAGGTACCCCTTTCGGGTGGAGCCTCCCCGTATAGGTTATTAAAGGGGAGACCCCCGTCCGGATTTTAGTAACATGTAGCTTCTGACGAGTCTCTAAGTGCCAAAGTGGTTAATTTAGTTTTGTCGCAGACATGATCTGCTTATAAATTTACATCTCAAAAAACAAACAAAAAAAAAAAGAGCCGAAACAGGAGAAATCGGGGGTCAATCTAATAAAACTTTTACAAGACCCTAAAACAATAGCTTCACTTGTCAATTACACTTACAAGTTTTATTAAATTGACCCAAGTTCGTAGTTAATTGCACTCGGAAAATAAGAATGTCAAAAAGGGATTACATCTTCGAACACCCAATAAAGTCAAATGAAACGGCACCACAGCAGTAATCATTGTTTTAGCTTTCCGTCCTAAGCCAACACGTTCTTATAAAAATTATGTGCTTAAACATGAGTCTAGATATGGAAATTGTACGATGAATCCCACCAACATTACATTTTGCGACATTACGCACTGTGTATGTTGCGTGACACGTTCAATATTCAACTTAGATCCGTACTTTGCATATTTTAAATGGTTTTTGTTTTTGCTCTATGGATAAATTTTAATTGCCCATTTCATAACAACGCGTGGGAGCAAAGCTCCTGCAAGTTAAGTTTGACGTGAACATTAACGTTCGATTCAAGCTGTTATTACAGGTACTTCCCTCAAAACAGGCAAAGACAGAACGATGTTTAATTTCCATAAGTAGCAATTAAATGCCGTACATATGCATGCTAGCTGACTGGATGCAATTGCGAGGAGGAGAAGGACAAGGCCTGACAAAAAAGCTTCTCCACAAAAGGTACGGAAAATACAATTGATATTCTTGACATTTGGTCCAAATTTACAACTCTTTGTGACCGTTTGTGGGTAAAGCATAGATTGCGCTGCAAAAAGGCGCAAAGGCTAAAGAAGGAATTAAAATAACAGAGAAAATAAAGGTAGACGATAGAATGGTACTTATGATGAACAATTTTAAAACTGATAACTGACTGTGTTTAATTTGCTCTCACTATATGTTCCCTCTAACGGATAAAATCATCATACGAACAGCGTCGAAAATTATTACATTTTATGCAAATCCCAGGTTTGCTTGTGGCACGGATGACACAGTGGGTAGACTGAGTGTTTTTGTCGGCAGAAAACACAATAATAAGAAGACTTCGCATCGAATTAGGGTGAAAAAAAATAAATTATAATAAAAAAGGCCAAAGACAAGTAGGATACTAACTGAAACTAGAAGATTGATTAAACGATAATGACGTTTATTCCCATCTATACATTTTTTTCATACGTAAATCATCTGTCAATATTAAAATGCTTCATGCAGGAACAATTGCGTCAAAGGGATGAGTTAACTTATGAACATATATCGCAGAATCAATTAATTATAACACTTGTGTCAGTTTGAGTACGGCAAAAAAAATAAAAAATTGTTATTTCATTTCTGTGACTGGCAAAGGGATGACTGATTCTATGCAACAGGGTTTCTTCAGTGCGACAACTTGAATACATCGCAGAATCAATTAATTATAACACTTGTGTCAGTTTGAGTACGGCAAAAAACATCTTCGGCTTTTGTTTTACTCGGCGGGCGACGAAAAATTCTGTTATTTCATTTCTGTGACTGGAGCTGTGGAGCTGCGTTGGTGAAGTATATGAACGTGTTATTAAAATAAGCCATGATTCTATGCAACAGGGTGTTTTTAAAGTAAACAGGATTGGAGCAGCTCTATACGCATAACTTTTATTTTTAGAAAGACGTAATCCGAGGTCTCATTAGTCGTACATACTTGTTTGTCGGATATTTAGAAATTGTTGACTTTGATTTCTTTTATTGCTATGCGAATCTTAAGCTACAAAATGATCGTCTTTTAAAGGATTTGATTTGTCTGGCCATTTCGTCCGAGCGCAAGAAGGGTTTGGTGGAACAAAGGCAAGGGCAAGTTTTAGTTGGACATTCAGATCCAACAAAGCGACGGCAACGAGAACGTCGCTTAGAAAGTGAATTTGGCTTCTTTCAGCCTTAAAGCAATTATTCCTACACAGTTACTTTGTCAAATGTAGGCAAACCTTGCTGAAGGTTTTTTTTCTTTTTTTTAAATCCAGATTCAGAAAGAGATGTAAAATTTCCTCGTCGATTGTTTACCATCGCCATAAAACGCAAAATTAGCCATTTTCACGTCGTAGTCGTATGAAAACGGCAAAGAAATGTACAAAAAAGTGTGACGCACGTGCAAACTTTTTTTTTTGCTTATTGAAGCTATAATTGTTTTCTTTTTGTCGTTCTCGTTGCCGTCTCGTTGTTGGATCTTAGACCCTGTTTACATGGAGTGGGGGACCCCGGTCTACTGCAGTACTGGGGTTGGTTTCTTTTGTTTTCACGCTCTGGGGGACACAAAACAAAAGAAACCTACCCCACTAGACCGGGGTCCCCCACTCCATGTAAAAAGGGTCTTAAAATCCCTGATTAGAGAGATCAAGCTGCGACGACGGTCATGAAAACGTCGGAAAAAAAAGGAACTTGCGTCCTTTCAAACTTTATCACGTCTATTTTAAACCGCTCAGTAGTCATTAAGGGATGATTTACTACCCAAGTTCGTAAAGGTCAACGTATAGGAACAATATGTAACAAAACTGCCTTCCTCTACAGTAAATTGGTATAAGCAACAGAGCGCCTATGCATACTTATTCAAAAGTGTCTAGACGTTTCTTTTCATATGTTAATTTAAAGTGGCTAGTCAGTGCCTTCATGTATACTAATATTTTCAGTACCGGAAATAACAATAGATATCCCACAATTCCTAACGTTGTATATATTACCATCATTCCTCCTATTGTGTGCAATTGTCTGATAACACCTCAGAGGTAGGTTAGAGACCCACCCTTCCAGCCCCCAGGCATGACGCGATGCACTGCCTTGAATGTGAACAGTCATTTTTTTTTTTATCGCGCAACAATCTTACAACAGAAACAAAAGAGGGCTTGACAATCAAACAGCACCTCACTGAACAGCTCACACAATTGGCTGTGAAAACAATAGGATAACCACACAAACAATAACCCTAACCCTCAACACAAAAGGCAATATTGTTTTAGATGACTGCTTAAATAAGAGGTTCTAATGAGGTACTGGACTACTGGCTTGACCGGTCTCTTCTAAACCTGATTGACTAATGTAGACACTATTCCTAAAAGAAAAGCGCGCAGATTTCGACAGCACTATCTTTACTATCATTGTCGTGACACCGAAGCAGGGAACTTCGGATTTTCGCGTTTATTTATACGTTATACTCACTATCTGTCTTCTCATTGGCTAAGAGAGTACAGTTAATTTTGGAAATCAGCGCAACCTACAGATTATTTAATCTGTAGGTTGCGCGCGCAATGCATGATTTCCAAAAACAATATCCAGTCAGGTTCATTGCGACGGTGTGTCTGTCGTTATTTTCTTCAAAACAATGTACAATAAAACAACTATTAGATTCGGTTTTTGTGATGTCCTGAACTAATAATCAAGATCTCGGTAAGTGTTATCAGCCTCGGCCTTCGGCTCGCCTGATAAGGGGAAATGGGAAGTCGTAGAAAACACGATGGCACGTTAATCATAGAGTAAGAAATTCGACGGTTTAAATGTTGGCACAAAGTGCTCTAAATACCATTTTATTAGAAAGAAAAATAGTTCAAAACAAACAGAATGAGGTGGTTTCTAACTGCGTCTGATCTGTGTGGTACTTCAGATATTTTGCATGCAGTAAGTCTGTACCTTAATTTGAAAATCTATAGTGAACAGTCGACAGTTATTATCTAGTTTATAATATTCTTCTATGTATCTTATGTACAAAAGCATGTCTTCGCCTTTATGATGAGCCTCGAGTCAGTATAAATCAGTTGTTTTTAACGACTAGACAACGGTCAACTCAGTCGAGCGGATGAAGTGCTGGCCAAAAGGATCGTAGTCACTTTTAAAGAGATACTGAGCGGCGAATGAGCCGCACTTTCAGGTAAACATATGAACACAACTTCAGTCCAATTCAACAACTTGCTTTCTTTTCAAAGTATTTACATTTAGACACTTCAGAAGTACTTGCCATTCTTAACAACTGTTGCTCTTCAATGTGCGATTAAAAAGAAAGACGTATCAATAAAGCAACCGAAGCGTAAAAGTCGAGGATTGGCTTTTAACCATTTTCTTGGCTGATGCAAAATCTTTTTTGTTATTACACTAGCGAGCTAAAGAGAGCCTTCTCTTTGTGTTACACACAGCACTGTCGTTGTCCTTCAAAAATATTAACATACTGTAAATCACAATACATCAGTAGAAGTGAAATACCGACAACCGTCATTAGCCTGCAGATTTCCTTGCTGTTTTCGTCACCACGTGACCTAACACGTGCTTGAGGACAGCCTGTAGTGACGTAAAAAAGAAAAACTTTTAGGGTGGAAGGAGCAGAGTGAGTCAAATTGAGCTTAAGTAGATTATTTATTACAGCAAGTCTCTTTTCTGATAAGGCTCCTCTATTTAGATGAAGAAAGTTACTCATCCCTTTTCCGTTTATTTCCTCCCCTAACCTCCTACCATGTTTTTGACAACCAAATTAATAAAGGACAAACTGTATTAATAAGCTGGCGAAACGTCCCAGCAGAAAGGAGGAAGGAGACGGCTGTTTTCGCAGGCTACGCGAATCGTGGTGTGAATGTAACAATTCATGTGAACTGAACTATGAAAGGAAAACACGTTTTACAGCAATCAAATCTTAACGTCACACAGTTATTGCCCTCGACCAAAAGAGAAAGAAGTGTACGCTAACTCTAGCCTATCAGTTCCTCCTACGGGTACTTTATTCAGCAGCCCCCCTCTCTCCTCTAGTTAAAACACTTTTCAAGCCCCAAGGGATTTATAGAGCATTTACAAAGGAGTGTTTCACTCACGTGGTCAGCAGGTATGCAAATTTATTGCGACAAAAGACAGCGTTTACATAAGAAAAGAGTTCAACTCCCAAAGGACTGGTTTGGGACACCAACATGGCGGAATTTACGCCAAGTGAAAAGGCCCTACACGAATCTCCAAGCTCGTTCCCAGGGTCCCCTGTGAACGGAAGACCTTAGATAACAACGACCTCAACCAGGTTGTGGCGTCCAGCGGTTCTAGTGAAAACAAAGGTTTGGGTGGGCTGCTCAGTCTCACGGGCTCATAAAACCTGGTCTCGGTCGTTCTTATTAAAGGATTTTCTCTGGGAACGAGGCTGACGTATCCCTCTCTATCTTTTTTTGGATTTTAATTTGGACAACTGTCGTATGGAACCAAGCAGTGTTACTCTTCTACCCTCCCCCCAGTATTTCAGTAAAAAGGACTCAACCTCTACCCCTCGGTATTCTAAGTCAAACGAAATACTCACTCCTATGTCGTCATCACGGGAGAACTGGTGCCCACAATGTGACCAATGACAAGTTTCCACGGCTCCTTGTTCCATCACGTGATATTCTACAACATGACGTAATGACAAGACAAGTTGGGACTTTTGGGACTTTCGTATTTTAGTTAAATTTTTCTGCACTTTATAAAGTACAGGTCAGGCGATCATACGCTAGGGAACTGTTTCTGACAAATTTTGTCTGATTCATGTACACATGTAGGCGTAATTTGGACTTGCCGTCTCCTACTCGTAATAGGGTACACCTACAAAAACTTAAGTACAAATAATATAGTTAGGAAAATCCAACTAGAGGTCTATTATCAATGCCTGATTGGTTGAGCTACTACAAGGCTGTATGTTATAGCCCACTAGTAGCGAAAAGCGCCGGCTTTTTGGCGGCAAAAAAAAGGGAATAAAGTTTAGCTTTAACCAGCGAAAGTTGTTTTGTGTCGATATTTTTGTCAACTAGTTGGATTTTACTAAAACAGTTATTCCTCTCGCCCTCATGGCCTCTGAGTCTGAGTCGAGGAATAGTTGTCAAAAACATCACTTGGAGCTCCAGTAACAGCTACAGCCTGGCCTAAAATCTGCCGTGTCATTGACCCCCCCTTCCCGCCCCCCACAGAATCGACGATAAAAAAAAGACGGCTGTATTGACAGGCTTAAATAAATATTGATGGGAAAAAATAAATAAAATAACACGGCGCACATTTTAGGCCTGGCTCAAGCAGGATTTTCAAATAAGTTTAGACTGGCGCAACAGAAAAAAGAATGTTCCACCGCATTACCACTTTAGGCTGTAGCTTTGGCATAGTGCGTTTATATGAACGCTACCCACAGCGTTTGTCGAGCAGAGATTTAAACGCGCAAAGTGTGCCGAGCACGGTAGAAGTTGAAAACCAGACTTACTAAGGAAACTGAATTTAGTCGACGGGAAATACGTAGCGTTAAAGAACCTTAGCTATGCAGAGAATAACTATTTATTACCTCGTATGTGGTTTTTCAGGTGTGATACTATGCCAAAATTGAGGTCGCAATTTTCCCACTGAAGGAAAAGAAAACAAGCAAAAGGTGAGATATGATTTGATAGCGTTTAAAAACCGGAAGTAAGATCCTTTAGGATCAATTTAGGTTGCTGGCAAACTGCCCACATACCCCTCCCCTAATCCAACGTTTTGCGCTTAGTGAGAGGTAAGTGTTTATGTTGACTTAGGGAGGGGTAGGTGGGCAGTTTTCCAGAAACCCATCAGTAAGTGAAAACTTATGAACAGGCTTTTGCGGAAGACAAGGTGAAGAGAGGGGAAAGCACATAGACACGGGGAGGAGGTGGAGGAGGAATTTACCCTCGGAATTTTCTTTTCCCGTTATCCCTTTTTTCACGTAGTTTTTATAAAGAGGGAAAGGAAAAACCTGAAAATTTTCAAATGAGATATGTACAAGAACAACTGAGGGAGCAGTTCGTTACCTTGCACGGGTGGTAAACCCTTAACTCCAGTTTAGATGCCACAACAGAGCCATCTCGCCCACCGCTGAATATCTGATGAAGAAGAAAGCAAAAGTCATTATTTAAAGAGGAACTATCAAGATATTTTTTTCCGAGTTAAAAATGCCCTAGACACACAATAATGCGGAAAATGGCAAGCTGTGAACAAGCCACATAATCAATTGCTTTTCGTTACCCTACCAAATACACAACTAGGAACTTACTCTTCCATTGCTGACCAGCACAGAGAAGATCATGTCTATTTGGCCTCCATACACCTGGAGAAGTTCTCCCGTCTACAGAAGTAAATATATGAGGAAAAATCAATGATTGGTTGTTGATTTGGTTCGCTTGTTCATCAAAGGTCTCTTTACAAGAACATACATACAAATCTATGTGATAAAGTTTGTAGGAAGCAGCTTTTTAGCGGAACGGAGCAAGGCAGTTAAGTCAAATTTGTTTAGTCTTCCAAAATATCAATTTTATCACCTGAGCCCTCGTCATATTTTCCTGATTCACACAATGGAGATAAACTTTGAAAAATAAACTCAAAGAACAGATGTCATAAAACTCCAACAATAGTCCATCTTAAAGTACTCTTCAATTAAGTCTATCCATGCCTTCTTTTGTACTTGTTGTGATATTTCAAAGACCTTTCACTGTTTTAAAGCCATGTTTATAGAGCGTTTTCACATGACGTCACGTCTGCCACATTGGTGTCCCAAATCAAAATATAACAGCGGCCATGTTGATGTCCCAAAACAATCCTGTGGGAGTTGAGCCTTTCCTTATGTAAAACATTGAACTTTTATGTCCATAAATTTGAATAATTGATGGCCACGTGAGTGAAAACGCTCTACACTTTTCATACTTTGGCGCCAGTTCCTTCAAAGTGGCAAAATTACGTTTCAAAACCGCTTTCAGCGTCAATAATGACGAGGAGCAAATTTCTTCTTGTGATATCACTTTTTGATCGTCATGAACGTCACGCACTTCCTCGTTAATACCATAAGATATTCTGACTGGCCCGACAAGAACTAGAAGAAACCATGACTTTAAAATCAGGCCTAGAGCAGCAAGGACAAAATATTTTAAATTTTCAATTTTTAATCGTTACGTTAATGACTGGAACTCTTTACCAAACTCCGTTATGTCTGCTTCCAGCTTGAACTCTTTTAAAACTTTATTACTTAATTATCTTTGTAAATAGTCAGATGTTTATTATTTCCTGTTGAATCTGGATTTTCTTTTTTATTTAATATCTAAGTAGTTTATTAAAGAAAAGGGGAAGGGGAAAGGGAGAAAAAAAAACAAAAACAACTAAATTTTGGTTGTTTTTTTTTTTGTTTGTTTTTGTTTTTGTTTTTTTTTTCTCTTAGTATCACGTGATGTATAGTTATGTATTAGTTTTCTATTCTTAATAGTTTTATCTTTTCGTTTTGGAGGGCAGTTTTTATATGGGAATTCAATTTCCCCCTATTGCTTTCCTTTACCTATCGTACTTTTATATATGTATATATATTTTTATTTTGTACATTGGTAAAAAGAATTATTAAACTTAAACTTAAACTTAAATGCAAGTGGCGAGAGCAACAAACAACAAAACTACGTACCGTTAGGTCATAGCAGCGAATAAGTTTGTCCAAACATGACGTGACTAGCACTCTACCGACCACCTGAAGACCGCTGACACTCCGAGTGTGACCATGGAAACTTCGTATTAGCTCTCCAGTCTGGAAATATACAACATGAAAAAAACCTTCGGTGTTACTTAATATTTTAGTGGTTAAAGACTTATATGAGAGCTTTACATAATCGCTGGCGATAGAAAGGACGAGAAATTCAATATCTGCTCGAGGTCACAATTTACATTCCTATACCGTAATCTTATGGCTCATAAAAGAAAAAGTAAACTTTTTCTGCGCCTTCGTTTTTACACAATTGAAGACGCTGAAAGGGCTTAATGGTCTTGGGAAATACGAACAGCTCATACATGTCTGCAAGACTTCGCTTTCATGGAAACGCATTTGTTTCTATTTCTTAAACTATTTTCTACTACGCTCGCGATGACTTACGCTCAAATTATGAGCCTGCACGTTCATGTCAGCGGATCCACTATACAAGATATTATTCACGACCTGCAATGAAATACAAACAAGAGTAAAGGTTTGATCCAATACTATAGGAATCATCTAAGTCCAGACCCGGGAGTCCATAGCAGAAAATTTCTATTTGATATGATGACTACACAACATACCTGCATACATAAAACCGTCATGTTGTGATGGTTAAAGGTCCGAATAAGAAGACCAGTCTGAGTAAATTGAAAGAAAAAAAAGAGTATTACAAATAATAATAAAAAAAATTTACACGTAACCTCGTTTTTTAAAAAAAGGCTAAGGACAAATCACAAATGGCCAATTTAAATTGCTGACCTGTCATCTACATCACGTGATATAGAGAAGAAAAGTACCTTATAGTCTCTGACTGTTATGGTGGAGTCAAATGAACCGCAGCACAGCAACTTGCGCTGACCTTCGGTAGCCGTGGTCAAGCAGCTCACACCACGTGGCTCGTGGCAATGTAACCGCTCAAGTAACTGGTTAGCCTAGGAATGAATAAGGAATTATGGATGTCAATCTTATCCATTTAATTGTAACAGCGATGGTTAATTAAACACGATGAGCATGAGAATAACGATGGTCTGTGCGGAAGCCGTTCAAACAGGAGGAGGAACAGAGTAAATACGGCTGACGGGAACGCCAAGGGTAGGCTCGCGTTCACACTGGCAATCACATGTCAATCAAATTAATTCAAGGAATGGTTTTCACACATTAAACGCGCGCAAAACCAAGCGCATTTACCCTTCAAGCGCTGAGAGTAATCAGCATCAATGTTCTATAAAACAGATTCGTGACAAGAATTGAAGAAGTGATCACACTGTACAGTGATTTTGTTACCTCTGCGTCCAGCGTCCCTGATGCATAAAAATCGCTTAAGACGCAAAATAATTTATGTCATGCGTCCCGTAGGACGCAAAGAAGATTGATCGATTTGAAGATTTTTTGGTAGAATATCGCGTGTTCGCGTGTTTTCTGTGGCTGTTGTCTAAAAAGTTGCATACTTATTTTAAGTCTTTTTTGTGCTTTAAAGATATAGAGGGACGATATTTTAATTTCAGTAAACTGTAATAAAGAGTTTTGGTGTCTGTCTCCAGATTAACTTGTCTGGTTACATAAAGGCCCAAGCATTTTCAATTTAGGATGCATTGCTGTTGTTTTTTTTTTGAACTGGGACTCATCGGTTATGGACAGGGACTCGTAATTTTTCACAAGATGAGTCCCAGGACTCACCATAACTATTTGTGTCAAAATCACTGCTGTCACATAAGACGAATCAGTTTAATTGATTGATATTTTAATAACTTCCGAAGCCGGCTCCTGATAACTTCTCACCACGAGTTCCATAGCAAATGTGTAAGGGTAAGGGTAAGGGTAAGGGTATAGGGGACTTTCAATTTTGATATTCGGGTTAAACGGTTTAAGTAGCCATTTTTTCAGCTATCTGACCAGCCATACAATTGAATTTACGTTAATATGCGCTAATCCTTTTCTACACCAAGACGCCGCCCCCAGCTTCATTTTAAGCGATCCTTGCATTATGAAAGACTGCCCTGGTTTTTACACAGACTGTTAACGGATGCCAAGGTCAAACCCGGACAGCCGTACGTGCCGCCAAACAAGCGGATGTTTTAGCGGTCGAAATATATCGCTGAATAAACGGATGTTGTACCGGCAGACTGAAATAAGGGTCAAGGACAAACTTTGTAATTTCATCCCCGAATCACATTCCAACCCCTACGACAGTCCTATGATAACAGAATTCGAGCTATTTGACCGTTTTTATCTGCTCATTTTCTACTTTGAGAAATTTTCAACTTGAATCTGTCGTTTGCCGTATACGTGAAGCTTTAGTGAACCGTCACGATTAAGTTTTTGGCTGTTTTATGGATAAGGCGTAAAAAAAGGAAAATGAAAATATTCAGTTAACCATAGTCACAACAAAAATGTTAACCGTAATATTTTTTCTAGCCAGAGGATGTCATTTTGAGAGTGCCAATATTACTTTTTACGGCTTTAAGTGTATTGCTTCGTGGCTGATGGACCCCCTATTTCAGCTTTTTTTCCCATCCCGGACAAGTCTTTAGAGGTCTCAACCGATGGAATCTTGTAACAGTTTCCCAAACTATTGATTTCTTAAACGTTAGCCGTAGCAGACGGACAGAACGTGCATTCAGACGAACTAAGCTCAGCCAGATATCGAACTTTCCATGAACTTAACTCACTAAGTTTTTAGACAGACGTGAGTAGGCGTGAGATCGAAGTTTGTGATCTGCAGGCGTGACACTTTGCAGGTATACAAACTTGAATAGTTTGCCTGTTTCTCAAAAAACCGTATGAGGCACGACAATCACACCTTAGGCGTGATGTTTTTAGAGCCCTACCCCATTATAGGTATACAAACTTTTTGAAAATATATTTTCGCGATCCCAAAGTCCTCTATTTTGGTTGACCTTATCAATGTGGTTTCAAAAACCGCATGAGGCGACTTATAGTTAAATTTAATAAACCAACCATAGAAAATTCCCATTTTACCCCCAAAATTAAAAGAACCTAGTAAATCTATTGAAAAAAACAGACCCACGCGAAGACATAAACATTCGATGGCCATAGCAAAACGAATGACAGTTAAAACAAGGTTTATTGGAAACTCATAGACTTGCCGCAGGTACAAATTAAAATCAAGGTCAGGAAGGACTCGCACGCATGTCTACAGATTACGATAAAGCTTAAAATATCTGCTACGCAGAGGGTGCAACTTGTAAACTAGATGTTTGGCCTTATTTAAACCCACTTCGAAAGGACCCTTGACTCTTAAATCAAGACAAAAGAATAACAAAATAACACGAAATAAACCCAACTGCAACTTACGAAACGCGAAGAACAATACGTACCCGTTTTCAGTAGCCCTAAACAAAAGCATAAATCGCGAATTCGTTCGACTATCGCAAGTTACTGATCGTTCTGCCAGTTATTCTATGTTCGGTACAAGCTTTGCATGCGAAATTTTTCCCTGAGGCAAGGCTTAAGCTAAGATGAAGTATGTCGGAAATTCGCGTTAGGAGACGTGGCTATCATGAGGAATTTCTTGTCCAACCACCTTCGCTACTAAATGGTTAGTTCGCGACCTTGGCATTGTTAATACAAGACAGGAAACGTAGCGACGGACTAACAGGAGTTAAAAGCGCAAGTTACTCCATTTTTGAAAAGGTAAAACGCGTCTTCGCATCAATTGCATTCTCAAATAATGGTCCAGTTTGATTATTTCAGGCTATATTTAGGCATTTAAATTGTTTCCTGTCGTCTACTGCTACCGATGGCAAGAATGGACAACGACTGAAACATGAAAAAATGGGCAAACTTTTTAACGTTTTAATGTTATGCCTGCAAAATCACCCAAACAATTATTATGGTATGGTCCCTGATGAAATTTGTCCTATCTTCTTCATAATTCTATGAGCGCATCATAAATATGACGCCCAATGTAAGGGAATCTAGGACAGTCTTAGATTCTGGACTCTACGCTGAGGATTCCGGATTCCAGGTACTGGATTCCAGTATTTGTCAGTAGAACTTGGATTCTGGGTTCCAATCGTGAGTAGGGTTCCGGATTTTCTTACCTGGGGCGAAATTTGGAAATGGCACTAAGTAATTCTTGGTTTTCACATGACGTCACAAAAATTCAAACAAAGAAACTATCGCTTCTTCTGAGTTTCTACTTTCATGTGATATTAGAGCACCTTAAAACCTTTAAACAAACAATTTTTCGGGTTCAAAAGGGTTCTTTGTTTTGCGATATAGGAAGCTTGAATTTCCAGGCTTTTGCGTGACGCGGCATTTCGCTGGCGGCCGGGTCAAAAACATCCCGGATTTTTGGACACTTTGCTATCTAAACATTCTTTGTCTTAGAATAAACATTACTTTAATGGCGTCTCCATACAAAGCTTTATAAATTTGGGTAAAACGTTTTTCCGAATATCTCGCATATGAACTATTGCACAGACCTGATTCTTGGCAAGGCTTTTTGAATATTTATTTTCTTTCATTTCCCAGATTCTAGACTTTCTGTATTAAAAGATTTCCATTTTTATTTCTGCGTTAATTAATTCTCACGTGAGTGAAAACCGAGAATTGATCTAAAGCAGCAATATCCTCGTGATATAGCCTTTTTCACAGTCCAATAAAACACCCATTCTAATCTATTTCCGTCAAACGACTAAACTAGACGGATGCTTTTCTGAGTGAGTAGTGAACTTGATACAATCGAACCACGCTTTACGGACTCCCGCTTAATACGGACAACTCACTATTACAGACAGTTTGCTGTAACCTGAGGAAAGAAAGCCCTTATCTTTTCTCTAAAGTCAACCCGCTTAATACGGACACCCCGCTAATACGGTACTTTCTAGAGCCCTCTAATGTCCGTGTTAACGGGGCTGACTGTATTTTCGAGAACAAGGGATGTTGTCAAAAAAAACATATTCACACCCAGTGCGGCATCTACGTCAGCGCGGAAAATGTTAAAAAATTTGGAATAGAAATAGCACAATAGCTCTAATTCATATATCTAGCCTTCGAAACAACGAAATAATATAACATAAGAATTGAATTTCTCTTAGAAAAAATAGAAAAGCCGACATTTCCGTTAATCTACAAAGACTTACAAAGGTCAAACTTAATTACTACTTAGATAACATGACGTATCCAAGCGGATGGCCTTGCACCGGCTACGAAAAGGATATGCAATGTAAAAAAAAAAAAGGTCAAACAGTAAATATGCGTGTACATTTTTTTTTTCGGAGCAAAAACACATGACCGTTATGGCGACAGGTCCTCCAGAATCAAAAAGCGCAGATTCCGTGGCAAACGATGACAAAGAACGCGGGAGAAACGGCCCGGAGCAAAGACATACTCCTCCAGATGGCGGCTGGGGTTGGGTAGTATGTTTAGGCGCGCTTGTGGTAAATTTTCTTACCATTGGACAACAAAACTCGGCTGGAGTGGTATACTCTGAGCTTCTTTGGGAATATTCCACGCAAAGAGGAGAAACAGGTATGGATGAGATATGCTGTGTCTTTGCGCCAGACAGCTGATAAAAGTCGACTCGAAAAAATGCCCTCTACTTACTGTACTTCTGTTAAGTTACAACTCTTTTAATGAGGCAAAAATTCTACATTTTATTTGGCCACGACTTGATTAAGAGAGTTCACACTGAAGTGATCAAATACTATAACGTTTCTCATATCATGCTCGACTACTTTAACAAAGAGCGTTTGTACATTATTTTCACTCTCAGCTCATATTTCTGACATCTATAAGTCATAATATAGTATAGCTAAGTCACAACTTACAGAATAACAGCTAGCTTGAGAGAGCAAACAATAAAATGGCTTTGGCCTTTTTTAAGGTTAGGAAGGATGCAACAAACTATAAGACCGCTTAATTCCGAGCGGCAAAATTAAAATCCAAGAGTAATCAAAGACAATGATTACGAGTTCTTGGACAATGAAATAAAGATGATACCGTTCTTGGTAATTCAGTGTCGTGAGCAACAAATTTTCTCTTGCACCGGGATTACAACGTGTTTATGTCTCGATGTTCGTGTCATTCATAAAAAAAGGAAACAATAAAACAAAGCAAAAACTAATAAATGACGTTAACACAGAAAAAAATGAAATAGAAACTGTCGCTGTCTTTTAGAAAAAAATGGTGGTACGCAGGTATCCCCACAGACTTCCGGAACCGGAAAAAGAATCCACCTTACCTAAGCTCCTAAGGTTACCGTATTTATTCGATTAACCGCCCTGGGCTGAGTTGCTCAAAGCATGGTTAGCTTTAACCATTGGTTAAGCATTATCAAAACCAACACGTTGTCAAGGTATTAAACGCTGGTTAACGCTAAACATGCTTCGAGCAACTGGGCCCTGGGCCCTTATTAAATTTACGGACCTTGAGAGTGGGGCTTATTCGAGGCTAGGTGCTTAAAATTTTCACCATTTTCAGCAAGTGTAGCATTATTATTTTGCAACGACACAATGAATTGTAAGAACAAAACGCGAAGATGTAACAAAGCAAGATTTCTGTAAAATACTCTGAAGAAAACTTCGTCTTCGGAGAAGTCCTTGTTAGTACTTATTCAATTTCAATTCCAATCTCATCTTCTCTCAACTAGGAGGGAGGGGGAAGGGGGCGGGGTGGGGGTGGGTACTTATTGGAGTTTGAGTGGGAGGGGGAGGGGTGGGTGCTTACTCGAGGCTGGGAGCTTATCAACTTTTTCTGCATTTAGGATGAGCGGTTATTCGAGCTGGGCGCTAATTAGAGGCTGGGTGCTTATTAGAATAAATACAGTACTTTCGTCTTTTTTTTAAATCTTTTTTTCGGAAGGATTTGATCTTTACCACTGAAATCTTACTTTCTTTAAGAACTATACTAAAGCTTTTGAAGTCATATCAAGATCTTGTCCGGCTCCTCAAATGTTTTGGGTTATAAGGACTTTATGTCAAATGTTAAGCCGCATAAATAACTTCGATGATCTTTCACGTGTCAGTAAGTACTTTCAAACGAAACCAGTTGTTTTTCAGTATTTTTCACGACGTGATTTGATACTTTCGTCAGGTAAAATATTTATTATACTCTTTGGCAGCTTGGGTGGTTTCACTGGCTTCCAGCATGATGTACTTATTTGCCGCTGTTGGCACTACCCTAGCTGAACGTTACGGAAGTCGAGTAGTGGTGATTGCGGGCTCATTTGTATCGGCCGCAGGACTCTTCGCCAGCTCCTTTGCAACAACACTTCAGCCTCTGTTCGTTACATATGGTGTGATTTGGGGCCTGGGATCAAGTCTCGGTTTATTCCCTTCGCTTGTGATTCTAACCAAGTACTTCAGAAGGCGCCTGGCCCTTGCATCTGGGATGGCGCTGGCGGGAGCAGCTATTGGTACCCTCGCATATGGCCCTTTCATACAAACCCTTTCGTCGAAATACGGACTTGCGGTGACATTTCGAATTCTCGCTGGCGTTCAGAGTCTAATGTTTCTTAGTGCACTGACGTTTCGTCCAGTAGAAAGCGAAAAAGCGCAATTTAACAGGAAAAAGATGTGCGACTTTGCCATTTTTAGAAACAGAGGATACGCCATCTGGGTCGCCGCGCTTTGCATTTTTATGTTAGTTTTTTTGGTGCCTTTCGTCCATTTGGTAAGTTATCATATTTTTGGTTTCCAACCACGTGACAAGGCGGCCATGTTAGGGGTCAAAACCATAGAATTTTTTCTTGAACAACTTACATGAAAATAGTGTTTAGTTCCCAGAGGAGAGAAATGCTTTTGTTCTTGACCAACATGGCTGCCGTGACGTCACGTGCGAACCAGCAATAGGCCTAAGATGGCAAGAAGCTCAGTTGAAGATTGAAACATTTGCGCAAATTTGTTTTGAAAACAATTTCATTAGGAAACGCCACATTCACACCACAAAACATGGTACACGTGGTACTAATTACTTGGTGTGCAATACTACCTTTCGAGTCGGTGAATGAAATCTTGTGGTGTGACCATTTTAATAATTTATAAAGCCTCATTGTTAATACTTTCACATGGTGCCATTTGTTTTTCAGCATTTTACACAATGAAAATTGAAAATCTTTGCCAAACTTTGACTTTGGTGATCACTTGTGGCAGTAAGAGGGTTATTATGTTATTAGAAAAGTGTTTTTAGTCAGTTTTACTCCCTTTCAGGTGCGCTTCGCTGAAGACAGAGGAGCAAGTAAGAGCCAAGCCTCCCTTCTAACAGGTTACATGGCCGGCGGGGGTCTCTTGGGAAGTCTAATATTTGGAGCTGTATGTGATCTTCCGAAGTTTAACCGCCTTAAAATTTGCCAACTTATCCTGCTCTCGATAGCAATTTCATCCTCCGTTGTTACACTGGCAAAAAAATACGAATGGATTTGCGTGTATGCGTCTGCATTCGGCGTGCTCGATGGTGGTTATGAAATGCTTGTACCTGTGATCACGCGGGATATCGTAGGCCCGCGCAAAGTCAGTAGCGCTATAGGCGTGCTTTATTGCATAATGGCATTTCCAAAAACGCTTGGACCGCCCATTGCGGGATCGCTCTATGACACGACTAAAGACTACAGCGCGTCGTTTTTTCTCACGGGTGCAGTGACAATACTGTCCACGGCCGTAATGTTTCTGCTTAACTGGGTTCCACGCGCCAAAGGCCACGAAGTGGAGGAAATAACAATGCCGTCTTCAACATCTGATACCAGTCCTTTGAACAAAGATGACCGAAAGAGCCTGAGACAGAGTTTAAGCCTGGCAACCGCTGACAGTTTGCAAGCGCAGCAACACGGTTCTACATTATGGTTTCCGTATTACTTCGTTGAAAGCAACGGAGAATGCATTTACTTGGAAAAACTAAGCGTTGTTTGACCATATGTACTTAACAAAAGAAATGACGCTACAAAATGTTTAAAACCAGAAAACTGTCGTCAAATTCTGATTTTGCTATAACATTTTGGTGCAAGTTCGTTGGAAAATCAGCGTGTGTCACAGAAGCACCGTCACTGCGCCGATTTCACTGTCTAAACTGGCACTGACAATAGTTCAAGACTAATGAGTGATCCAACATTTCTACACCTATTTGCAAAAAACATTTGTAAAACCACAATTAGATGAGAGAACACTTTTTCACTGAAACCTGTAAAAAATTTCATCAGGCTTAAAATCAGAAATATTAGTTGGAACATTCTTGCGGATGATCACTGGGATTTGAGGGGCTAATTATCTAAGGCTAAGTCCATAATGGTCCGCTTAAATATTCAAAAACGCGGGCCTGTTTATAGACCTTCTATTCTCTCTTCAGAGATCGCCGAACGCGCGTATATTGATTATTATAATAAAAATGAGGAGGGATTTGATGATCGCTAGTGCAATGCAATTGGTCCAGTTAATTTGTTATGGCAAACGACAGGGATATAACGATAAAGCGTTGACATGGAGGAAGAACTTACTTACTTTCCAATTAGTTCTTCTTGATCTAATGAAGTTTCTATATCTTATTTTTTCTCTCGCGTTTCCCGCTCACTCTTGCACGCCCCCTCTCAAGTGCTTACTCTCGTTTGCTCGTTCTCGAACGCTAACTCACGCGAAATTCGCGAGATTTCCATTACCAACATTTTCTCCTAGGAGAGTAGTTAGTTTAAAAGTTGGTTGGGGAAGGGGTAGGTGGGCAGTTTACCAGAATTTTAATTCTGATCCAATTATCTTTGTGTAACCTACCCCTCACCTAACCCAATATTTTGCTCAGCGTTCGTTCAAGGGAGAGGTAGGTGTGCTGTTTACTAGAATCTTATCCTGATCGAGGCTCGATTACAAGCCGCTGGCCGGAAAAATGAGAAATCGAGCCTAATACCGATCCAAGATAGACCTATGACTCCCATTCAATTAACAGTTCATTAAAAGAGCTAACAATGAGGGTACCAAGCATTATAAATGACAAGCATGTCTCGTGTTTCGTATCGGTGTAACTCGTTAACAAACATTTCTTGATCATTTCTTGTTTGGCAACGACTAATAGAATTGAGTAAAAAAAGGAAGAGGAACTATCGTAAGTCCCCTAAACGGGTTGAAACTGCGCAGTCTCCACGCACCCACGAACCTTAACACCCACCCAGTGTTCACCTCGTGGCCACACTTACCAAAAGATCTATGGAAGCCACTATGCCCGTGTTTAATCCGACAAAGAGTAGATCAAAGGCTGCGTGAAGACACATCACTCGCCCATCAAATGTGAACCTATGCGTGCAAACGCCAGTCTGAAAATGAAAATTAAAGAAAAAACACTTAGCTTTCATGTGTTAGTAATGGTACATATGGTAACTACTGAGTCGTGGCGCTGAGTAGATGCGCGTGTATGTTTCAGCAAACGTCTGGTTGACAAAAAATTAAGAACAAACTAATGCTGTACAAGCAAGCTCTCTCAGAGGAAATACGAAACAAAAAGCCTTCGTAGCAAGCGTTTCCGTTTGGTTTTGGAGCAAAAAAAGACCGAGGAACGGGATTTTCGGTTTTGGCCGCGCGAGAAATGGAACAAGAGCCAAAAAATGAAAGAGGGGGAGGGGGATGGGAAGGAAGGAAGGAAGGAAACAATAAAAAGCAAACAAACAAAAAATGCAGAGAAAGCTTGCTCGCAGGCTACGTTAATTGTTTTAGGTACCTTTATGTCGTAACTTCGCACTGTTTGGTCATTTGAGCCGGTAAAAAGTCGACCACTATCCTCAGTTACCTGTTGTTAAGGTCAATAAAACAGCGAATAATTACATTGAGAATAATATATTGTCATGTTTGGTACAAATAAAAAAATAGCTACGATCATATACGGAGTGATAGTTGAGCGTGTTGACATGTGAGTACAAACCTCGACACAATTAACTGCTTGATGATGCCCTTGGTAAAGTTTGACGCATTCTCCATTCTATGAAATACGAAAATAAATGAAAGAAATTGCATGGTAGATTACAGCACATTATTTTTGCGAAGATTCAAGTTGCATTTTCAGACAGTTCACACCGATGTCTTGTTTTCAATCTTCCTAACCTGTTCCAAGCTCTCAGATAGTGGGGAAGACGCGAAAGTAAAAAGGCACACGAAAAGTTGGCGGGCGGGAAAAAGCTCTCCCATTTTATTTTCGTGTTTGCGCTTTCTCAATTCAGCGGACTCGACTATCTCGGAGCCTGGAACAGGCTACAATCTGGCATGGCATGCAACCTTCCAAAGCGCACAGCCAAAAAGCAAACATTCAAACCCCACTCCACCTCCTTCCGCGAGGTGTTTTTCGAGCGCAAGCTGCAGCGCCGAGAAAGCTTTTTCAAGGACGCTTTTCTTATGGTCTTAGAAAATTCTTAATCCGCCCACATATTTCGAGCAAGGGGTTGTTTACCATTAACAAAACCGGGAATTTTTTTTAGTCTTGAAAGAGTTTTGTTTTTCCATGAACCGACCGGTTTGTCCAAGTAAATGGTAAACAACCAGGGTTGCCCATTCTGAATTAGCCTCCAGACACCTCTGTGTTTGATGGGGTAGAGAAATAAACAATGCTCACCACAGAAGCTACCCGGGTTGGGTTTACATGGTGTACTGACCTGAATACTAAATGATCTTGTAGTTTTGTCCGCTGAACAAGTAAACAAATGACCGTTGAACACCTGAAAAATTGCATTTACGTTAAATCAGATCGTTTCATAACACCTGATAAATATCATCTCTTGTCCTTAATTAATATCTAAAATCACTTGACCAAATTATTGATTTCATTCTTAGCTCCAGCCCTAAAACTAAGGATTCAAAACCGTTTCTGAGATGCATTCTCTTTTAAGTTTAATCACTGTAATCCTTTGGAGAGGTAACTGGTAATACAGTAAATCCGCGTATAAAAAACTAGTGGATTGAAAACCTCCTCGCTCAAAATTGCCACTTTAATACCCCCCCAAAATATAAGAATTTGTTTAGCCAAGCAAGATCAAGCAGGTTCTTATCTGTGGGTTACAATTAAATTACGATAAACATTTTAACCAACGAGTTTGACTTTTATATTGCAAGAAAATGCTGTGACCAACTGTAATTGCTAATAAAAGTCTTACTCTAATTGCTACAAAAAACAGGTTTATATATTGTACAGACTGTACATGTAATTGTCATCATGGGCTTCGCATAGGGGAGATTTGCAATGTACAGTTGTGAATATTTAATGCATTTTTAATGACCACACTCAAAGTTTCGTTATTTTGCCGGTAGTCAGTAACTATTGCACATGTCCGTCATAGAAATTAGGAACCTGATTAAGAACGTACTTAGCGTTAATTGCCAATAAGTACCCCAAAATACAGGTATCTATTTCGCCACACTTAAAAGGAGCTTCTCATACGCGGGTTTTTTTTTTTACTGTATCAGCAGTGACTGCTATTTTCAACTGCTCAAGAATCTGACTTTCACTTACCTTTAAACCACACACTGCTCCCTTGTGGCCCACAAACTTCGTTGCAAATGGCCCGCGTTTTTTACCATCTGTAAAAGTTCAACAAGACGCCATTAAAATTAAAACACATTAAAAAAACCCCTCATAAATACGTGATACCTGAGGAAAATCAAGGCACGTTCATGCCACTTTATGTTGACAGGTTTGGAATAGTCCATGATTTATTATTCAACTCTTTCACGACAGGTCCTAGTAGTTCAAATGGTGGATAACGCGCTATCTGCTGGTTTAATCTCTTTGCAGTGAATAACACAATTAGTTTCCGATACTTATCCGACAGATAGTTTGAACAATCGTGGCCAGTTGCCTCCATATACATCAACGGTCACCTCAATAGAGACCTTCAGATTTTCAAGTCGAGAACAACTACGAGGACGAGATTTTCTCAATAGGGAGCTTAAGCAACGACGACGCGGACGGCAACGAGAACGGCAAAAAAGCAATGGGTTTGATTAGCAAAACAACAACTTTGCACGTGCATCACGCTTTTTTTGTACATTTCTTTGCCGTCGTTGCCCGGCTACAACGTGAAAATGCCTGAATTCACGTTTTGTCGAGGACGGGAACACAAGACAACAACTTTCTTTTCTTTTCCTGAACTTTGATACACTCCTTTAGAATTCAACTCCAAAAACATTTGCCAACAAGTAAACGAGATGGGATAAGCCCGATAAAGTTTGAAGCGGTGCGAATTCACTCTTTAATTGACGTTTTTGTAGCCGTCGCCGTCGTTGTTGCTTAAGCTCCCTAATACTAAGTAGTGCGCTCCCGTGAACCAACGTCATTTTGGCGGGAAAACGTGGTAGCCGGCGTCACTTAACTACGACTTTTAGTGAGAACGTTGCAGTGTGGTATAGTAAACAAGTTATCAAATGATAGAAGTTTTATCGTTTTGCGATCGGCAGAGGGCTTAACCGACTTCACTAAAGATAAGAGTGCAAACCGTTAGGGTGAATCAAAAGTACAAAGAAGCTTTCGGGTGTTGTCTGACTGATCTCAGCCTACAAAAGAACGAGGAGCTGTAATTTACTTTTAAAGCTACCTTTAGAGTTATGTGTAGTCTTCTTTAACGGACTCTTCAGTTGAAGAAGGCATTTGAGGATGACTTGGGCGGGAATGAACACCACTTGACGTATTCTTCGACCGACCGTCCTGCAAATATAAACAACTCTTTCATAAATTACTGTCACACCAACAAGCAGGGGGAATTTCATACGACTCTAGATGGGCTACAGGTGAGCATCCTAATGAAAGCTGAAGTACTTAATTTGCCGTGTTTCAAACGAGTGAAAAACTGGGTACGATATGCGACTACAAAGCGTCTTAGGATCGTTTAGAGGGACTACCAAAGGTCAAACACAACACTGCTGGGTTGTACTTTTACGCGGTATTAGAACTATTATCAAGTCAGGAAGGAAAGTTTAGACATACCACATCTCGCGTGGGGACCTCATCTTTTTCCTCAGTTCCAGATGCCCCTAAATCGGCTGTGGTTGTATGAGCAGCAGCACTAACAACTTGACTTCTTCGATTGAATGAAGCTTTCTCCGCCAGTGGGACGCTATTCTGGGTATCGTTACTCGAACTATCGTCGATTCTTCGTCTCTTAGACGGGATGGCGTCCTTTTGGTTGTGTTTTTTATCTCTTAACTGCAACTTCTCCGCTTTACTTTTTCGTGATCCTTTAAAGTCTTTCTTTCCGGATTGAAAAAGGCTGGATTTTTTCAGCTCTTTGCTAGTCTTTCTAGGCGAAGGCTTATCTGGAATTGTGATTTTAAGAGGAGAGGGGTTTTGTTTGTCCTTGGAAGGTATCTCCGAAGAATTTGCGCTAGAAGACGAAGAAAGTGTATCGCGTTGTTTTGAACTTTTCCCCTTGCTTGAAAGCTGTGTATCAATACTGTCTTCCTGTTGTTTCCACCTATTCATATTTTCTCTAACCGACTGAATCTTCTTCCTACTCGCCTCAATTGTCTTAGAAACGTTGATATCAGAAAAGCTCTTTTTCCTGAAGAGCGATTTTTCCTGAGGATGAAGATATTGGACCTTTTTGACGAGATCACTTTTCGTTTGTTCATTTGGTTGCACACTAACGACCTTGCTCTGGGCCTCTCGTTCCGCTCGGCCTTGGTCAGATTGGTTGTTCTTCGCTAACGCTGGATTTTCAACTATTAACTCTGTATCAGCTGCACTAAAACTACTATGTGCATCAGCTGCACCTAAACTACTATGTTCAGTAGCAGCATCACCATCACTCGAGGCTGTAGAGGTCTGTTTAGAAATACCAGCTCGCTTCACATCCACCTCGCTGGTGGAGCTGGTTTCCTTTGCTACCCGTTTAGATGCTAAGAACAGCCTTTCTAAAAATTTCTCACTCGTCTGCCTGCTGTGCGGTGTTTCTTCTGTGGAAACAGATCTTGCGGTTGTTATAACAGAAGAATGTGCCACTGATTGTGGGGATTGAGTACAGCCGATGGTATTCTGTGAAGTCTCTGTAACTGAAAATGCAGAAGAGTCAGTTTCGAGCTCCGCCTGGGTAATCTCAAACTCTGAGTCCATACCGACCTCGCGACAATCATTCGATGGACTTTTCGCAGCATTAATATTAACATCCTGGGAAGAGCCAATTACTTGACTCTTCCCGTGATCACTTCCAACTGTCCTAGAATTATCGACATACGTATCTGACTCACACGACGTTGATTTGCTGTCGTCCTCTCCAACTTGCGTTGCAGCCGTACTTGTTTCTCTACTCAACGTTTCAGTGTTCGCCTGCAAAGGAACTTGTCTCTGGTAGCAAGCACTTTCAAGAATACTGAGTCGCGAATTCCGCAGTTCCCCCATTCTAAGTGTAATCCGTTGTTCTTCGCTACTTAGCGAGTCCAGCTCGGTACAAAGTTTCTGAATTTGCGAGCGGACGGATTTCAACCTGGACTGCACTGCGTGAAGATTTTGTAACTGATTTTGTTCCTCGCGTTCGATTGATAGCAACTCCTGAACATTCAACCCGGACTGGTATGTAACAGGCTTGTCATTTTCATTGTCTTTCTCCTTCTGCTTAGACCTTTTAACTTCCTTTTCAGCGCTTACACTCGAAACACTCTCCGAGTCTTCCCAGGAGTTTATACGTTTACGTTTTATCACAGGAGGTGTGTCGGAGCTTTCCGTAGTAGAGACCCGTGCGCCATACTCCATACTAGTATTCAAATCGATCAAGCCTCGGTCCTGAAGAACAGATGGTCTCACAGGCGATCGTGAATTGTCCGAAGTTAGTTGAGAACCATCGGCTATTCTTCCATGGTCAACTGAGGGAACTGGCATTCCTTTAAGATAGGATGTTGAGCTTAAATCGATAAGGCCTCGTCTTTGAAGAAAATTTGTGGACTCTTGAGCGGGTGGTCTAGTGTGAGAGGGGGCATCCCTGGAGTGTACATTAAAAGGGAGTAATGTTGTAGAAGACTGAACTGGCACATTATTTGACGTCGTAATTGAGCTCTCACGAAAGATGTCCGAAGCGCGTGGAATAGCTTGTTGAAGACCCTCGTTGTTGAATCGCCTACTAAAAAACTGGTTTGCGTCAAACGTACTTCCCGTCTCAAGCAACTTTGACCTTGGCAACTCTCCGGTGTGCAAGAAATCTCTTCTTACAATGGGAGAATCTAAACTGATACTTCGTTGACCGCGAGATCGCAGCCTCGCTGGCAAAGGAGACGCTTTTTTTCCGGGCTCAAATGAGCTTTCAGTCCTATGCTCTGAGAAGAGTGGCTGTGATCTGCGACCGTCGTTAGACTCAACTGGGTTATCGCCAGCCGTACTGGTCGCCTTTTTTCCACTGTAACGTTCTGCCAAAGCTTTTCGAACGGCAGGAGGAAGGTTAAACCGCGACAGATCAAGCGATAGACTGGGTAGCGAAATGGTAGATCCATGACTAGCAGATTGATCCGTAGGTAAAGGCGTTGTCGAAGAAACTCTCCGAGTAAACATTGGGCTCTGAGGAGAAGAGGGCGCATAGCTTCGCGGAGAGGAAAGAACAGACGACTTCGTGGAAAACTCAGACGGTGATTGGGTCGATTCTCTCGACGGTTTTTGTGGTGGGAGATTGCCAGAGTTGAAAGGTGCAACAACGGAATGCGGCAAACCCAGAAGTTTAGTGCTAAAGCTCAAATCAATCATTCCTGTGTTTTGAGTTTCCGAGGCTTGTGATCTTTGTTCTTCAGGTTCAACTTTCACCGAATGTTTCAGTGGATAAATGACACCACTATTTACACCTGAAGTCAAGGAGCTAGTTGTAGGCTGGCGGTTTGCGTTTGGCAGGTGTGCTTCCTTGAGTTCAAAATGTGGCGTTCGAGATCTGATAGGTTGGAGTATAGTCTCATTTAGATCGATACTTGGACTACTATCTTCGCGATTTGGTATCGTTGAACTCAGGTCTTGATACGTCTGAGATCTCCCCGTTCTAGAGTCAATATGTGAGCCACCCTTAGCATCCACAGTTGAAGAGCTATGCAAAGCTAGAAATCCCTCAAGGTTTGGCACAGTGTCACTTAAATCAATTCCAGGTCTGTCGATGTCGCTTTCCACGGTTGTATCGTGATAGCCCAACAGTCTTCTTGGTCTTGGTACTGTGTCACTTAAATCAATGTTACCACCAACATTTGCACCAGTGTTGGCAACAGTACTTGCACCAACGCTGCGATCGCTATAAATAGCCGACGAAGATCCCCGTAGAAGCAAATTTCTTGAAGGTCCAGTGGTGCTAAGATCAATCTTTGCCGAAGGCGCATCGCCAGTAGTCCCCGCTGCTGTGTACAAAATGGAGTTGAGGTCGACCTCACGACCAGTTTTTGGAACACCCTGACTAGCTTTTTCAGGTTCTTTCGCTCCTTGGATGTTCTTTGATTCGTCCGAATGGGAGGAACTTTGACCAATCTTTTCTTCCAGACCTGAGGCAAAACCGAAAAGCTCACTAGGTTTGTTAGAGGGTGCGATCGGTTTGAATATTTGTGTCCCTCCAGAAATATTTATCAGGGATCTCGTTGATGATTCGCGATCGTGAGTTTCGTCTCTCGACGCATTCCTCACGACTGAGTTGACGCTCTGCTCTTGGGTGCTGTTTTTATCGCCTTTGAATACTCGCTGATGATAAGAACAGTACCTGTGGGGAAGGAAAAAGGAAATTATCTCTGCAAAATAAATAAATAAAATAATCAAAATAAATAAATAAAAAGGCCAATTACTATACAACATCTTCAGACAGCGGGCAAGATGGAGCGGATCCTGTGTTCTGGTTTGCAAGCCGAGAGGGCAGAACAATCTTGACAACAAAAAGGAAGAGAACTTGGCCAATATCCAAACTGCCTGCTTCCTGAGCTCCACTCCCTTTTCATTTTATCAGTCGTGTATGCATTTCTTATTCACTTACTTATTCCAAGTGGCTGCACCACATTGCACTCCGTCAATATGAACAAAACTACACTGTGGACGGGACAATGACAACTGGGAAAACCCTGGAATGTGTCGCGAGGAAGATCCTTTAACAGACCCAGTGCCAAAGGATGACTTTGGTGATGACAGGCTGTGGCTGGGAACAGAGGCTATCTTCTCGCTCTCTGTTGTCACTGTGTCAGGTTTGGCCAATGAACGTGAGATGGAGTCTTCTTGGTTCTGAAAGGAGAAAACATTACAGTACAGCGTATGTGTAGCGTAAGGAGTTGACTTTCACGCAATATGCAGGTTTGATTATTAGTACCGATCCTCGGAGACCCGGGGGCAGCTTGTCAGGGTGGGACGATTCTTCCTTCCGTTCTGCGCCAGGATCTCTGAGGATGACAACCGCACGTACATTACCCAAATTACAGTTTTATGGTACCGTACATTTTGCTGTGCAGCATGGAGAAAATACGGTATCTTTGTTTTCTGTTACTAAGTCATTACTCAGAATGAGAAAGTACATTTTATAACGAAATAGGAGGTAAAACGAAGCGTAGGGGGTACAAACCAAGGGACAAAGGCGAAAAGTCACATGCAGAACTAAAAGGGCCAGGCGAAGAAAAAAGGCCAAAATGGTAGGAAAAGGCCTAAAACAAACAAACAAACAAACAAAACAACGACCACAACAATAGTTCCACTGGAAAACCAGTTTGCCTACGTTATTGCATAGTAGGCAGAATTCCCTAAGGAATTAAAATCCTTCCAGTTACCTCCGTATCCTTTGGCTCTTTCTTTATTCCAAGTAAAGACCTGAGTTTTTCCTCCCGTTTCTCCCAAGGCAGCGAACTTATAGTTGAGATTGTGCTTGCAGAGGATGCTGAAATATCACCTTTCTGATCGCTTTGACTTGAAACATTGACACCGAATGTTTTATTTCTTTCACTCCCTGAGATCAAGGAACTTGAATTTTGAGTAAAACCAAGAGAACTTTGTTTTTCTCTGGTCGAAGATACAGTTGACAATTTGTCTATCGTGAATGATGGCCCGTTTGAACTTTTGGAATTTAATGCTGCTTCACTCCTCATTGTTAATGATGATGGAGAATCCGCTCCAAGTTCACAACTTTGTGTGTCTTTGCTTTCTTCACCATTTGCTTTCTCAGTTGATTGATCAGAAGAATTGTTCTTTTTACCCAGAAAAGGGGCCGGTTTTTCTTTTGGAAATTTTTCGAGCAACGAGGTTGCTGATTGATTTTTGTCTGTGACAGTTTCAACTTTATCTTTTCCTGTTACAGATACTTGTCTTCTGTCAAAGTTCGGAGAACTTCCTTTAGATGATAGCGAGGGTTTGAGTGTCGATAAAGAGTCTCTTTTATCCGTTGTATGACAGTTTGTTTTATCTTCTTTGCTTGAGGAAAGAATTTCCCCTTTAATTGTTACAGAGGAATTCTTGATGTTGGCTGAAGAATAGACATCATTTCTAGCTGTTGAGGGGTCCCCTTCTTGGGCTCGTGATGATAAAGATGGGTTAATCGCTGTATTCTCTTTGCTTTTTGATTTACTTGATTCCTCAGTTGGTAAATCCTTCGTTGCTTTGACAGCAGACAAGAGTGTAGGCTCTTTTGAAGGTTCCGCCACAACTTTTTCTTTTGCCATAACTGTGATCTCCATTTTATTATTACGATCAACTTGCACTTTTCTCGTAACTGCCTCAGAGTCTTCTTCCGTTGTGGGACTTTTACTCTTACGATCATTGTCTTTCTCGACATTTTCTTCCACAGGTCTGGCTAGCTTTCGAGGAGTTCCTTTCCTTGTATTTTTTCCACTTGGGCTCCCTGAAGAAGAATTCGCCTTCGGAGATGATGTCTTATCCTTTGACGCTTTTCTACTTGTTGCACCTGGGGAGCTTTTACCCAGGGCTTCCTTATCACGCGGTGACTGTTTCTTCCTGCTCTCAGCTGATCCTTCAGTGTCTTTGTTTCTAGAGCTAGGACTTTTATCACTCTGTTTTTTAGAAGAGACAACTGAACTTAGCTTTTGCCTTGAACTATTGTGTGGCGAGTTGCTGTTACGCCTTAAATCTCCGTCGCCATAGCGACGAGGTTGACTATCACGTCTCGATCTAAACTGTTGATTGTTGTCATAAGGGGGTCTCCATCCATCGTCGGGATACATGTACCCGGAGTGGTCATAATGCCTGTCATTATATCGTTCATCAGTGTTCCTTCTCCAATGATATCTGTCATACTTCTGATCTGGGTAATCCATTCCTGGATATTCAGGACCCGGTGGCGGTGGACTGTCTCTAAATTCTCTCATCTGGTCTCTGCCACCATCATTCCATGGTGGATATCCTCCTTCTTGATAGTGTTCTCTTCTGTCCCTTCTCCTATCATGGTAGCGGTAGTCAGACTGAGGCGCACCATCCATCAGCCTGGGAATGGGTGGACCCCTACCCCTACCCCTGTGCCTGTTGTTGTTCATATGTGCCTCCCCACCGTGGTCACTAAAGTACTCTACAAAATCAGAAAAATCGTCTGTACTCCAGTCAGAAATTGGCCTGTTTCTCTGTCTTTGATCCGGCCTATCTAGCTGCTGCTTTTCTGGACTCCACTCCCGCTGCTGATCCCTTCGCCAGTTGTGAAGCTTCTCTTGATGGCTGTCACCATGCAAATGACCAGTGAATTCCAATAATCCGACAAATTCCTGCCTACACAAGCTGCAGCGGTGAACACAATCTCTAAAATGTAAAAAAAAGGTAAGTGAAGTCAGAGAAATGGTCCTTTGCACATAAGAATCTGTTCATTTACTATGCCTTGGGTGGTTTGCTAAATCAAGGAAAAGGTCTTTGCATTTGCCTGACATGTTGGCTAACCTAAAAAGGTCGCCTACATCATGTTTGTAAGGTTTTTTAGTTAGGCTGACTTCCTTTGACAACTGACACTGGGACTACAAAGGTTAACTATTATTGATAACCTTATTCTTCCACTTTTTTGACTGCAATTAGCAAGGGTAACCCTTAAATGCCTAGAAGTGATTGGAATGTAACATCTCCAACATTGTCTGGCAAACAGGTGATGACAATAGGTAAATTTATCAGCTGGAAAAATGTTATTTAACAAATAAAGAATCTTTTGCTGTGCTCTGTTTTGTTGTAAAGCGTGGAGGAAGCGGCTAGAACATAAAAAAAAGTGTTAAGGGAAACACAAGATATTCTCCCTGGTTTCTCCCTACTTCTTGAGTGCTCTAACCACTTCCTACAATGTAAGTGTTTTACAACAGAACAGAGCACAGTCAACCTGGATTCTTTACTGGTTCTATGAAAAATAATCCGTTAAATTCCCCATGCATTACTTTCTAATTTTCAAAACAAACGATTAGAAGATGGCGTGACATCTTTTGGTCCATGTTTTATACTCTCACAAAGCACACTTTTTTAACCAATCAAAGTGCACATTACATCATAATTTAATATACCAGGTAACCCAAAAATTGTCTTAACTCAGCGTGCAAAGACAGTAGTGTCTGATAGCCCGCCGCTAGTGGATTTTGCTATTGGGCTAGTGAATTCTGTTTTTAACTTGCCCGACAGGCAAGTGATCTTTTTTCAGGAATTCGAATAAAAGAAGAACTGTGAGATCAATTCCGCTCTTCAAAAAGCTTTTGCGGCTAGTTGAAATGACCCCTGGGCTAGTAAATGTTAGCATCAGCTTGCCCGAATGGCAAGCTGTAAAACTGATTTTCTTTGCACCCTGCTTAACTAATGTTCAAGGTAATGAATCAAAGCCAGAAGGAGAATTTCTAACAAGATCTTGGGAGTAAAACAGTTAAAAAATCAATGTCTAGTAAGTGATGAATTGGATCATTACAAGATAATGAGTCACTGCCCACTGACACCTCTTAGTTAGGGCAAAACGCTGGCTTAGGGGAGGGGTTATTGGGTAGTTCCTCAGAATCTTCTACAGTACTAATCTGACGAATTTTGTTTGGCACTGACTCAAATGTACTGATGAACCTCTCCTACAGAAAACCCTATAATACTCCCACCTCTCTATTACAAACAGTACTTTTGGTCCCCGAGGTGGGGATCGCAAAAAGTCCCATCTGGAAGTCCACCTGAACAAGTAGATTTTCTTGCTGGGCAAGTAACTTTTAAGAAAGAGTCCATTAGGAAATTGAGTAATGTTACTTTTCCGGGGAGAAAAACCTTGTACCAGAATAATTTCAAGCATATTGCATTCGGTTTCACACTTTTCAAGGGCTTTAAAAGTAATACGCTCTATGAAATAACTCCGAAGAAAAGGCTCTTCTTCGAGCCCAAGAAAACAAACTTCAAAAGCCTCAAATTTCACAAAAGAAATCTTACGCATGATGATTTTACCTGTGTTTTCTCAACTCCTTTGAAATTTGAAATTTGAAATTTATTTCCTTGGGCTGCCGTAAGAAATTGTCTTTCATGGTGTTATTACAGATAGCTCTTGAAAAGTGTAAAAAACAATGTGATAGCCAGGGCTTAAAATATTCTGGTATGAGGCTTTTGTCCACTGAAAATTTAAATTACTCAGTTTCTTAACGAATTCTGTCTTAAAGCTTCTTACCCAATGGGCAACAGGCAAGTCATCCTCTAACAAAATGAACAAGAAGTGGCCCTGGCTAGGCATAATGTGAGAGCTGCGTGCCCAAAGGACAAGCTGGCATTCAAGTTTTTTTAGCTCTGAGAGGTGCACAATTTTTCACATAAAGCAGACACTTCGCTCTGCCCCTTTATATTGGTGCATTTACTTAGGAAGTTAACTACATGTATGCATGGAATATGTGCTACAGTCTATCAAGCTTCCCCCACCCTTTTTCCAACACCTGCTTTTAAAAAAAGGACATTATTAACCCCCTTCCCTGTCAACTGCCACACTTACTAGCTTTTGCAATCAACCTAGAATAAAATAGAGAGACCACTAAAATAATATTATTGCTCTCAAATGACAGACACTTCATGTGCACTGATCATAATTCTCTAATCTCCATATCATACACTCATTATCTTCACCGTTCAGTTGACATACATGTAATCGAGAACAAGCTATAGAGAATCGCGTCAAGAAATAACTGTACCATGACTGATTCTTCATCTTACTTTGCTCTCACATGACTGACACTTCATTTTTGATAAATTATTATCCCATTTCTAGAAATAACTGTACCATGACTGATTTCATTTTCTCCATGATAAAAACCTCTTCCTGCCCAAATGTGTTATCAGTTCTTCACATGCATGTACACACTGTAATCTAGAAATAGGTGTACCATGACTGATTCTCCATCTTACTTTGCTACAACACTTTTTCAAAGAATGAAACTTTGCCCAAAAAGTTGCTGTTCAAAGAATTTAAAAGCAACAGCAACAGTAGATAATCTTTTTCATACCTTCCTTGCTTTCTGTTCAAATTTGTATTGTGAAGCATAGACCATGTATGCTCTTCCAATTCCTGCAATGCAAATCATCCAGAAACAATTATTCTACGTTTATGGTACACAGTCATACATGTAATGGCCTGTCTAAAGCCACCCCATGCCCTCACTAAAAACAGGCTAACATGAACAGTGTTCACTTTAATCTCTACTCACTACGATCTCTAGTAAAATGTAGATGTATATTCCTTTCACAGGGAGTCTAAGCCATCAAATTACTGTCAAATTCTGATCCTCTAGCCCCTCAAATGTAGATAATAAAAAAAATATTCCTTTCACAAAGAGTTTAGAAAGCTCAAATACAAACTAAAATGAAGCAAAAACGTCAATTTCTCCAACTGGTAGCCCAATCGATTTTAAGTTCTTCTGAATTGCCTCTCCAAAAATGACCTGAAAAGTGTATGTCAGTATTTGTAAGTTCATTGAATGATCTTTAAGTGTGCTTTTGTTACCGACTTCCAAGTATCAAACTTGGCTATTACACTGTAGGTATCAAATGTTAATGGTATGTGGGTAGAAAAACTTGAATATGATAAATTTTACAGGTAGTGAGACCAGCTTGAAACTCCAACTTGAGATAAAATGAGAAAATTAATAATGCCACCAGCATAGAAAATAACAAACAAACAAACAAACAAAAAACACTGAACAAAGCTAAGGTCATTCCTTTGTTTTGCAGTGCCCAACTCTTATGTGCATCATTTTGCTAAGATGGTGTCAGCTACCATGGAATTGAGAGATAACGCTGTTTTTTGAAGTTTTTAAAAAAATTTTAGAGACAAGATGATTTTGAAATACACGTACACTGTAAGGGAAATTTTAAGGTGGTAATAAATCAGGACAGTGTGTTAATGTCAGTAAAAGTTACAGAAGATGACTGTGCTGAGATCAACAATACTTCATAGAAATTACCCCAACTGTTTAAGAAGCAAGAAATGTAGATGACCACTTCAGTTCTTTGACATGTTTCAGGTCTCGACATGGAAAACTCCTTAATTAACCTGTCCAAACAGTGAATGTGGTGAAACAAAGGCTCATCATGTGTTTAATGGTTCTCTAGTGAGACCTTATTTTCAACATAAACACAAAACTTAAAACAGGTTGGTTCTGCTGTTCTGGTGTACAGGGTTTTCAATAAGGTTTTAAGTAGGTGGCAAAAGTCTTGGAGTAGGCGGAGAACGAAAAAACTCGTGCCACTGGCCACTTGCTAGCGCAAAAAGAGGAAGTTACGAGGGGGATCCGGGGGCATGCCCTCAGGAAAAAATTTGGAAACCTGGGCTTCCAGCATTCTGGAGCAAAAATTAGAGTGTTTGAACAGAACAGAGACATCATTAAATTTTGGCTTTCTTAGGGGTAATTTCCAAAGAAAAGTAGGTGGCAAGTTCATGTGAAGTGGCCGAAATGCTGCCGGCTCTTGAGAACCCAGGGTGTAGTCAGTCAAAATCACCGCAAAATCATATTAAATATTTTGTAGGGATCAAGTAACCTCAAAGGAGGATACATGTAGTTGGAAGTTTTCAATTTTTCTTAATACCCTGACCCCTTCATCCGATGACTATAAAAGAGAGGAAACCACGTGCACTTACTATCACAAGACAATGTAACTAGCACATGTAATTTGCATCTGTACACAGGCTTACTAATCACTTACAACATAATAGCTGAAAAAATTCACATGGCATAGCATTCCTTTTAACATGATTATGCCAACCAACTTATTTATTGAAAAACAGACGCAGAAATCTTGAAAAGCGATTTCTTTAAAAGAATATTTTACACTTAACATTGTAAACTGATAATCTGCAAAAATGTTCTTATTGCAAACTTTTACTGCCTGAATACAAAATTATTTTACACTCAAGACTGTGCTCAAGCAGTGCCCAGTGGCCTGTGGTGCCTCAAAAATCTTAGTTTTCTCATGGAAATCATATGCTGGGCACCATGGATTTGACAGGTTCAGAGTACTGGGCTCCCTTAAGCGTGCAAAGAAAGTCATGTCCGATAGCCCAGGGGTAGTGGATTTTGCTTTGCGGCTAGTGAATACTGTTCTTAACTTGCCCGACGGGCAGGTGAATTTTTTGGGAAATTCAAATCACAGAAGGATGGTAATCAATCCTGCTAATCAAAAAGGGTTTTGGGGCTAGTTGAAATGACTTGTGGGCTAGTACATGCTAGCTACAGCTTGCCCGAATGGCAGGCTGTAAAACTGACTTTCTTTCCACCCGGTCCCTTCAATTTTTTCTTTCAAAGAGCACAGTTTTGACCCTGATTCAAAAACAAGCCTGGTGACCTCACTTTTCTCTTAGGTCAGTTACTTCCATTGCCACCAAACCTTGTGTAGAAAAAAAATAAGAAAATTCACACTGACAGAGCTGAAAATATTTGAAAAATCCACTGATATCCCTTTTCGGATACATTTTGTACATTCTTGTTTGTGTCCGTAAACACCATACAGCAGACATCCATGACAGAATTCTTGTAGAGAGAGTTAGCCGATTACCTGTATACTGGATAATCGATTGGGTGGGTCAATCCGATTATTTCTGAAGATCAGTTTTGAAATCTTAGCCGATTCCCAACAAAACTCTTAAAGAGGTTTGACTGTAATTCGAAGCATCTGTACTAATCCTGGGCTGTCACATATGTCAAATATTCTTTCAAATTCTTCCAATCATTCTCAATGCAGCTAAAAAAAAGTCATTTATCAAAACTATCTTGTACCACAAGCACATGAGATTCAATACGTCATTCATTCTAAATTAGCACTACAGACTGTGGAAAAGACTCATATGTTAATTATCAACAAAACACTTTGTAACTGTTACACTGTATAGAGACAAGCTACATGTAAAAGAAGAAATGAATCGAAATGATTCACTTAAACTGAACGATGTTATACACGTAACGGACACTTTACAAAAAAAACACAGATAAATAGAAATTTTACTTGGACAATTAACTGTATGAGCTTATAATTTAGGGTTGCTACCAGGTGATAATGAAAAAAGCAAAGGAACAAGGCATAATTTACAATCTAGCTGTCAAACAAACGCATAATACAGCTTTGTTAAGGCTATACAAATGCACTCACATTTTGGGTCGTAAAATCCAGGCTGCATAATTCACAGAAGTATTCACTGTTTGTACAATCGAATGAATCAACGGGCATTTCCAATCTCATCAAATATCACGTCCACGACCCTCAAAACTCTGGCGTCATGTCGGTCACTGACTGCAGCTGACGGTCGTTCTCGCAAACTTCAGTTGAACTTTATCTCGTAACCTCCAGCCAAAACGGTCAAAAAGCGATTGTTATGGTCATAGCATCTAAAAGGACAGGGGTTCAGATTTCCACCCAAAATTCATCAACCATACACGCGTTTTTAAATGAGTAAACGTGCCAGTGCATCAGCCTCACACGTAGTGTGACAAAGATGGAGGAATCGATGCGTAATGCGCCGGAAGCAAAAACGTGGGTTTTCCAGGATACACGGACGTACGACGGAATTCCTTTATGATCGTTTCGCAATTAGAAATATGTTGACATTCCCTACAGCTTGGAACAAAACAGGAATATTTACACCCTATGTGATCAACAATGCGTTTTATCACCCCAGATGCAAAACGGTGTAGAATATGATTCCCTTTTCAGCGGTCTGTGACAAAAGCCTCGCTTTCATTCGGGAATTTACCGGAAGTGTGTGCAAACTTAGTCACGTCTGTTGTGTAGGTTGTTCCGGAAGAGGAAGTGAATAAGGGAAACATAATTCCCTGTTTCCGGCAAATGATGTGTCAGCAGACGACGTAATAGATTCGAATAGTTCCTGTAGACGTATATTTTAAACTGCCGTCAAGAAAATCGATTGCCATATATGTGACAATTGTCACGCCTGCTTTCGGGATGGGAGCGGAAGATTTGGGGACGGTCGTTTTTAAAATATCTGGGTTGAGGGACAGTGAAAAAAGAAATACCTGTTTCTCTTATTTGGTTCTCGTTCTTTAGTCGTTCTTATTTGGTGAGTCGATAAGCTGCTTATTGTAGAACAATTCTAGAACTTGTATCGCATACCCTAAATCCTCTATTAAGCCCCCCGGGGGGCTTCTTTATTTCAAGCCCATTTGAGGGGGGGGCGCTTAGAGACAGGGGGCTTATTTAATTTAGAAACGATGATGGTATCAGTTCTCCATAAAGGACTAGAATACAAAGGGGAAGAGCTCAAGCACAAGAAGTTTTAGGTCAAGCAGCCGAGGAACAGAATCAAATCCGAACTTCCAGTTGTTAAATAAACCATCCAGGATCAGTGCACACAAAGTTTTATGGTCGTGATTGATTAATACAGACTATCATTCATTATTGAAGAATACTTAGGGGTGGAAAGGGGGGGCTTATTATCTTTCTTCCCCTGAAAAGGGGGGGGGGGCTTATTAGAGGGTGGGGACTTATTTGAGAGGGGGGCTTAATAAAGGATTCACGGTAAGTAACGAAATAATAATTTAATAAAATCAATTAATTAGTTAATTGATTAAAATGCTAGGAGAAACACTATTGACTGTCTTGCGTTAAGAACCTTACTCCTTTCCACTAATTTGTAGTCTGCGTAGCAAGCGTTTCCGCGCGAGTTCGTCGGGAAAGTTGAGAAGAGAGCAAAAAAAGGAATGATTTCGCTTCAGCTCTAACTTTTGCGCAATAACTCGATTGGAAACGCTTGCTACGCAGGCTACTAATTTGTAGAACAACTTCGAAATGCGGACTTTATAATTTGGATAAAAAAACACAAACCTTATAACCGGAAATTAATGGAAAACAGTATAAAACTTTGCGGGGTTATCCAGATGTTTGGGGTTGACAGCTTCAGTCACAAGGTTTATAGTGGATCTGTGGCTGATTATTGCCTTTTTCTTAAAAAAAGCGACATTTATCGAATTTTTGGGGTCACGCCTTAGTCTCAGCAAAAACCCGAGCAGTCCCCACTGGGGAGTCCAAGTTTCGCGCCAAAACTGACGTTGTAAACAATTTCTTGTTCGCCGCTGTCATGTGAGAGCACCGCTGTTGTTTATCGCCTTCATCAAGGTATAAATGTTTTCGCCAGGCCAAAAGTGATGCGATCGACGGTCAGTGAGTTAAGGGAAAGTACACAGAATCAGGAAAAGAGGTAAGATGATTGAGAGTGTAAATAATCGTCAAGTTGCTTTACAAATTCAAATATTATAGCAGCAAAACCCTGATTCGCGAACGATCGATCGACGCAATCGAAATTTACGAAATTTCAAAACGTCTCTGTTGCTGGATAGCTTGAAAACCACACCTCGGTAGCAGATCCTCCTGTTATAGTTTATTAATAATTTACCTACGTAAAATAACTACTGTTCGCTTGGATCATCTTTTACCATTCTCGATCGATCGTGGACAAGAGTGATTTTGTCAGCTGTTTTGTTTACTGGCCAGATCAGAGAAAGAGCAGTGCTTTGAAAGTTTTTTCGAAGTCTGTATGCTTCAATAATAAGGTAAGATGGCTTAGATGGCAAAAAATTTCGAAAACATTCTATAAGGTGAAAAATATTTAGCAATCGTAACTCGATATATACAGTGAACTGTGCCGTCTTATTGTGAGTTGTGAACAAACGCCGGATAAAATTTGTATAAACAAAAACTCACAAAAACTTAAGCTTACCTTCTGTCGTCAGCGCGTATTAAATATGCCCTTGCAGTGTAATTTTAAAATGGTCTTTCGAGCAGAGAAAATTGATTTCATTGAAGACACGGCTCACATGTTGTTGCGTATTCTAGGAGAAGGAAACCAACGGGGTGAAATTGACATTTTGACCTTCTCTTGGTGGGGCGCGCGCTTGAAGTCGGGGGGGTCTTTGTGGTATAGGGGTGGTATTTGGAACCCTTACTCACTAACCGAGTGCAAAGATAGAAACATCTAGCGAGTGAAAAAAGTGCGATTGCAAAACGCGTGTGGTTACCGTCGCCACCCTCTCGCGTTTCACATTGATGCGCTAGCTAAGTTCGTGCGACCACCGTATTTATTTTAATGGGACTACGACCGACCAAGTACACACTCATATTTTACGTTGGGTCGGCCCATGACCTACGTAATTGCAATCGCGTTATAATACCAAGTTAAGGACAGATTCAGACATGTTTAGAACACGCCGACGTACATCCCTGTTCAGGAAGAAAAGCACGGAACCAAAAGCTTTCTATCTTCCAACTTCCCAATTAATTTTCCTCTTGCTTCACAAATCGTTGAAGAACTTTCACCCTCAGTGTACTACAGCAATCAAAGAGCGGCATAGGTCTCGACGGCAGTTGAAGGATGATGATGATCAGGATGATTTCAATGATGATCCCCATGCTCACCCACAGGCTTTTGAAAGCCTGGGAGATGAGAAATCGCGCTCTTAAAGACCCCCCCCGTTCTCTCTTCCGCCACGCCTGTCTCGGTGGGGTATACCTTCATCAGTCAGGTGTTCAAATATAAATTGACCTCAAAAGTTTATCCCCTGGGCGTGAGTTAGAATGAAGAACACTCCTGTCAAAAAATAAACGCCGTTTTGAGGGCTCCTAACGAAGGATGTGTATCGATTCAGGAGAAAAAAGACATTTTTATTCATGTTATTTATTTTATTACTTTTTTACCGGCTTGTCATTTATAGTGAAGTCTGAGTATCCCTAGAAAGAAAAGATCTAGAGGCCACTAATACCTTTACTCGCTGAACGAAAGGGAAGTTATCCAAAACGTTATTTACAATTTGACAACCAAAACAGAAGCTGTTTTGATTTTGAACTCAGGAAACTGAGACAAAACATTTCGAGGACATGGATCGAGTAGCCGTACTTAATTTTTTGGGGACGTTTCCTCTTTATTTTCGGAAGTCCTTTTTATGGATAATCGCAACGTGATAAAATGTGAAAAACACAACCTCCGAAAATCTTAGAAAAATTTTAGGCAACATTTGCTCCTTGGAATAGGCACTTTACAGAAAATGTCGCTGGGACCTTGTATAAGACAATTTTTATGTTCTCATTTCCCGTTTCGAGACACACATTCAATGTGACGTTTGCCGTTTCTTTTTTGTCAGCGACCTTAAGATCGAGGTTTGGCTATCTTACCGCAATCGGCGAACCGCAGTTTCACGTTACCCGTCTGACCATATTTGGAGCATAAGATTCGCGGGTGTTTGCTTGCGGCTGCGATGTTTGTTTTCATTCATTTGTTGACTTCTATTTTAGCTGGGAAATCGTCTTCAAAACTACCTCTGGGCGTCAGTTAATTAGATAATTAATAAGCAAAAGAGTTCTAAAACGTACTGTAACCTCTCAAATGGGGGATTGTGATGTTTTAGCGTGAAAAAAACCTTGCGGTAACGGTAAACACTTACCTCTCAGACTTCCAGTCTAGAGCGTGGTGTAGCCGTACAAACATAGCCTGTACACACGCGTTGTTTTTTTTTTCTTTTCGTTCTTTCGAAAACATCGGCGGGTTCGCGAGCGCACGAGAACGAGCGCAAAGCGCAAGAAAGAAAAATAAAGAACGTCTATTTTCTTCTTTCCTCACCCCTACCCCCTTGCGCTGGCGGTCAATAAATCCCCTGTGGTTTATATTTTATCACCCGCGCTCGACGGACTTTGAAGAGGAAATAGAGGGTCTGTGAACAGGCTAGTACAAACGTGAACCTCAAACCGCATATCCTGTTCCAGGCTCCAAGGTCGTCGGATCTCCCTTCTTTTTTTCCTTTTTCCGGCGCTCCGCCACCATTTTTGCGTGCCTTTCACTTTCGAGTCTTTCCCACTTTGTGAGAGCCCGGAACAGGCTACAAACCACATCACCAGTCACGTGACTTCTTGACGTTCGCGATTTGCGGGAACTACCGAAAAACTGTTATGTTACGTCGAGCTATTCTTAACCCGGAACGCCATCGACTACTGCGGGTGTGCCCCTTCCTGAAAAGCATTTCGAAATTTGTCGTCTTGGCTGAGGCTCAAGGGATCTTGAGATGAGACCACTCATGTACCGATGTTTCCCGGCACGTTTTCATATGTACCATTATTTCGTTCACAGAAGTAAGAAGTACTTTTTGTACATCATATATAATATTTGAATAGTATCAAACAAAGTAACTGTTTGAAAGGCCACACTTATAGATTTTGCTCTGCAATTTCAACGATAATAGCAAGCTCAAACATGTCTAATAGATTAACAGTACCACAGGAAAGTATGGCAAGCTGCAGCTTTCATTTGAAGCTCTCAGTTATCCGTAGGGTTTCATCCACAAATTTAAAAAAAAAAACACCCTTGGCTTATATGGAGCGGTAAACAGTACAACCGGAAAATAGTTAGAACCACCTTGTGCAAAATAATTAACAGTACCACAGGAAAGTACTTCTCGGTAGCTTTCACTTGAATGGTCACACCGTAGGATTTCATCCACAGACGCAAAAGTTAGAACCACCTTGTACAGCATAATAAACAGTACCACAGGGAAGTACTGCTCAGTAGCTTTCAGTTGAATGGATCCTTCGTAAGATTTCATCCACAGACGCAGGCGTTAGAACCGGGTTGATGACAGGGAGAAATAATAAAGGGGATTACCACAGGAAAGGACTGCTCCCTTTCCCTCTTTCATTTGAATGATCCCCCCCCACCCTTTTGTGCCTTACGCAGGCTAGTTACAGCTGTCCTTATGATTTCATCTGCAAACTCAAAAGTAAGAGATAGAATCATGTCTCAAAACTGACTCTACATGTGCTAAGGCCAAGCGACCGTAATAATAAAATCAACCTTTAAGCAGAGGTACCTTTTAGAAGACTGAGTTCTTTTTGTCCTGGCGGGCGCTTGTATTGCCATTGTCTTTAATAAGATAACAAAGCACTCTCGTGATCACACGACCAGTCAATACCGATAAAAATCAATGTTTTGATCAGTTAACCCTTTCACTGCCAGAGTGCTTGGTGGAGTTTGGTAAGATGACGCTAACTTTTGAGTCTGTGGACGAAATCCTCTGATGTGACCATTCAAATGAAAGCTCTCTGCCTGTACTGTCGCATTTTGCTATTTGTTTTGCAAAATGTTACGAAATGAAATTTGCAAACTTGGTCAAAATTTGCCTTTGGCTACATTTGGCAGTGAAAGGGTTAACGACGTTGTTTGCTTATATACTGACCGCAGTATTTGAAGGAATTGACATTGAATTGCGACGCTCCACAAAGCGGTAACCCACAAACAGAGACGAACAAATCGAAGATTGGATTTTGTTAAGGGTCTTTTTCATGAAAAATAATACATCTAAATTGCAAATTAGGGACAGCAGGTGTGGAGTTTGAAACAAAGAAAAGGTGTGAACCTTGGAAAATCTTTATCCTTGTAAGCTGCCGCTGAACGATAATAGGGAGTTTAAGCGATGACGACGGCGACGGCAACGAGAACGGCAATAAAGCAATTGCTGGTTTGCACGTGACGCACGGCGGCCATGTTGGTGGCCAAGAACAAAAGCATTTCTCTCCTCTGGGAACTAAACTTTATTTTCATGTACACAAACTGTATTTTCATGCACATTAACGGCTTAGATTTGTTAGGAAGATCCCGGGATGAAGAAAGTATGGCAAAACGCTCACTTCGAGCCATGAGCCCTGTCTCACGCCGCAACTTCAAAATGTCCAACTGCTAGGCGAAAATTGGGCTCTTTCGGGACGGCCTATTCGAAACGCTGCATGGTGCAAATGGCTCCATGTTAGGTAGGAACTTCCAAGCTCATTTCGGAAAAGAGTGATAGCCTGGGACCGACAATTTGACTAACAATAAATGACTGTTCAACTGTGACAAAAAGACAGATCGAAACGCGCCAACAACATTTGAGAGTCTTAATAGCCAATAACACCACGGCTCAACTGACAGACGACCAAAAATAACGCGACCTAATTGACCAATCAGGTCAATAAAACCCGAGTTTAATACTATCAACTAACGTGATACAGCTCACTTTGACCCTGAAGCAGGTTGTCGAAACGTCAGTCACTGTCAACAACATTCCTATTCAGTACTAAACTCACCCGGATGATCATATTCAACCTACTTATGAAATGACTCCTGGGTTCAAACCTTTCACGGAAGAACTTTTCTCAAATAAGAAACAAAGTGGTTCTAATACCTTAACTAAAACTCTTGCTACCTGACTTAGAGGATATGCAGATTACTTCTGTGATATCACCGTTTCTGACAATGCACCTGAATTTTAACCTATTGTCTCATATTAAGAAAAATCAATATAAAACTACTTAAATATTGTATAAAATAATATAATATATATTTATATAGTTTTCTGCGCAAATATTTCTTTTTTCCCTTGTTTTCTCTTTTATAAATAGATACTCAGTGACTTTTACAGACTATAGTTTATATCACGAGAATGTTCACTGTACAACTTGTGAAATGCTATGACAAATCCCTACAGGTTATGAGCTCCTTAAACGCTCTTCTGTAGTTTGAACTCTGAAAAGCGTAAATAAAAGGGTTCAAAATAGAAGATAGAAGAACAGAGATCAGCGAGAAAACTTGAAGTTCATTACTCGCTAGTCCGTGGATTTGTAGCTCTTTCACAACAACAAACGGAGCAAAGGCCAGAAAAAATACAAGCGTAACGACGATTGATAGCTTAATGACTCTTTTCTTTTCCCTAGCGTCAACGTGGACGGGTATGTTCATAGGGATAATCCTGCGTCCAAAATACAATGCGCGAATTATGTGCAAATAACAGTAGATTAACACAAGAAGAGGAAGAAGTATAGCTATGAAAAAGGCAGTGGTCCAGAAAATCATTTGTGCCTCTGCGCTCCATGTTCGTGCACACCCGTAATCTGAGTTGAAATGGTTAAAATAGACCAAAGGTGTGACTACAAGTGTTGAGATAATCCAAATGGCTGTGATAAAATACCGAAGGGTTCGCCTGCTGAACTTGAAGCCGGTGCTCAAAGGTTTTACTATAGCGTTGTAGCGTTCCAGAGCTATCATCGTGAGTGTCAATATGGAAATGAAAGAAAAGGCTGGGTAATAGGAATTGACCTTGCAAAGGACCCTGGCAGCTGTCGGCGAGGGGAACTTTCTGGCCGATGCGACGGAGTAACCAAGAATACACGCAAACAGGTCCGCACCAGCTAAATTTGCGAGTAAAACGTTTGTCTTGGTCCGAAGATATCGCTTCTTCTTAACAGCTACGATGACGAGCAGGTTCCCTACGATGCCAACAGGCAGCAGGACAATTGTAGTAACGAGAAAAGATACAAGAGGAAATAAATCATCATCTTCAGTTGATGTGTTGTTCGTGGTTGAGTTTAAATTCGTCTGGTTTTCGAGAGAAAAGTTCATTGTCATTGTTTCCAAATCTAAGCTTGATAATTATTGGCGATAAAAGCCAAGTTATGAGCTCTTAGTGTTCAATGCATTACTGTTTGATATTGCTAAACTAGTACCTAGCGTGCCCACGATATTGAACTTTCTAAAAATGGCCTTCATTATTAATTGTATTTTAAATTGGTTTATTGTTATAACTTTTCATTGTCGTCATTGTTTGAAATTGCATGGGTTGTGGTGTTTCCTTATTCCACTTTCGTACAAAAATATCACCAATTTGTAGCCGAAATATCGCCTGAAATAGGCCATGATATTTGAAAACACCTGTTGGATTCAGTAATATTTTGTATATAAAACACGCAATGTTTTCCTACGAATCATTACTCAGCAGATTTCAAATCGTTTACTAGTAGTTAGCTGACTTTTCATTGTTCTAGTTAATTAATGACCAGAGATTTCAGTGGAAATGGGGTTGTGGTTGACCCACATTTCTCGTGCCGCGACTTAATTTAACTAATATATCATACTGTAATTTCGAGTGATATGCGATATTTTGGCCACACGTTAATTGCATTTTTTTCCTCAAACAAAGTCCTTCTACAACTGGGGTCAATAAAGAAGGGAGTAGTGTAACCTCAAAGCCTTTTATTTCACCCTTTCGTGACCTTGGAAGCTTTTCCCAAGTTGCTTTATTCGTAACTAAAACGATATGGGTATGCTTGTAGTATGAGTCAACTGACGTTTCTGAAAAGCGCTGATGTTTAGCCTGCGAGCCGAGATCTTGAACCCAGACGTTTTCGTCCAAGGAATTTACGAGTCACAAGATTTAAGCCAGCTGTCATAAAAATTTTTAAAGAAGCAATTTTGCGTGAGAAAGCTATAATAAATATGTAGGTCAAGAGTGATGAGATTTCATACCAAGAACAAAGGATCTTTTGGAGTGAAATATTTCGACCTCTTCTCAAGAGCTCATTCGTCACGTGAGCGGCCATCGCGTGACTATCCGAATAGGATCGTTTTCACATGACGTCACAGCGGCCATGTTGGTGTACAAAAGAGGGCCTGTGGGGATTGAACTCTTTTTCTTCTTTAAAAACGTTCCTTTGTTACAATAAATTTGCTGAGAACGATCTGCTGCATTGTGTTGTATCGCATTGTACTGTAAAGGCTTTCGCCAGTTTTACGAAGATTTTCCGAAAATTTACGGAAGATAACCGAAAACGCATAACCATGTGTATTAAAGGTGTCTGAAGATAGTTTGAGTTTGGCTATGCCAAAAGTTAGTTAACTGGCGCAGATTTCTTGAATAGATTCCCTTAAAATGTGCTGTGTATGGAACAAGTATATCGACTTATTGGTTAAACGAAACTTAACTACCAGTTTTAAGAAATAAACAACTTTACTGATTTGACGTCTTTGATTCACTTTTTTCAACCTGATCGATGGTAAGAAATTTCTCTGGGAAAACAATTTCCCTAGAAAACATTTCCTTTCCAGAATTTGCTTAGTGGAGAAGTCCACAAAAACAGAAAAATAGACTGAACCCGGTTATTTTTAAAGCCATTTTGATTTGGGAATTGATATTGAACTTGTATTTCATAGCACTAAAATGGTTTCTTTACTTCCATAGCAACTAATGCTCTAGAACATTAACAAAAACTGTCTCCCTCGTAACAAAGCAAATATACTTTTCAGGAGCAATATACAAGCAGAGTCGGAAGCGATGTCAGTGGCTATGTCACTAGAGATATTTTGAATATCAGAGAAGCATTCATCAAAAGGTATGACTTTTGCTATAATCATAGTTTTATTAACGAGACCGCAGCAGTTAATTTGGCAGAGTCATGGAAACCCCGTGTAGCAAATAAACAAGTCAATTAGTCCTTCCTGTTAGCGACTAGGTTGAATTAAATTGTTAACTGTGAGGTGCACGGGACTTAATAAGAACGCTTTCATAAAATGGTGCCCGTCGAATTTCATGTTGAAGAGATTTGCATTGTGCAGATTTGCCAAACTGATTGAAATGCTAACACTTGGACTTTTGTTGCATTAATTAGACACACCACATAAGACCGTTTCTTTACATTTAAAGGGTTTATGAAAACCGGGCTAGTGAACATTCTGTTAATTTCCCTCAACTTCCACTGTCTGAGCTTGTTTACTGTCTTGTTTGTTTATGTCCCATCTTTTCTTGGTTGTTTCGTGGTTAGCCGGATTTGTGTAGAAGAGGCTGTGGACGGAATTTCGCGAATTCACGTTCTTTCTAAAAGAGCTGGTTGCTTACGTAACACGAATTCGTCTTGTTGCCTCCAAGCTAAGAAGTTTTTGTTTTCTTTTTTATTACAACTCTTATCCAATTTTACGGTAGACTTTAAGAATATTAATTGTGTGGTTGGCCTTGTGATAACCTGTTTTCGTAAATGGAATACATTAATTACTTTTAACGGGAAATTAATTAGATGACGAAGCAATTCTCGTGTTTAAGGTCGCAGAATAATCGTTCTCTTGTGCAAATTGTGATTCCGACTATAGGCGAGTTTTTATTCATTATATTTTTGGCCTAATTCTCTGATCAAGCTGTTAAAATAAATTCTCTGAATATTTACATTTACATTTTGCATTTACATGTATTGGGTCGGTAAAATCGTTAAGTATCACACAACAAGCGTAAAAATAAAAACAGATAAATAAAGTAAGTAAGTAAATTAATAAAATACAGATATATAGAGGATATTACACGTTGGCGCGAAGATATGAATTTTATTTTCGAGTGGCAAAAGAATATTATTTTTACGAACGAGCTCAGCGAGTGAGTAAAACATTGTTTTCGCCAAGAGAAAATAAAATTCATATCTTCAAGCCGCCGTGTAAAGTTCTTTTTATTATATAGACAAAAAGACATTGATAAAATAATAGAGGGAAATTACCGAAATTACGTCATCGATAAACTCACGCGTGAGATTATGGAAAAATAAACCACTCGGGTCCCGGATGTAGTTTTTATGAATTTAACGAGTGGTACATTTTCCAGTAAAACACTCGTGTCTATATAATAAATTGATATATATAATAATGATAATAATTAGGGAGTTTCTTATCTTTTGAATTTCTATAGATTGGGTTGAGCTGCATGCATGTTATTTTCTAGTACCCTTTCTTCGTTTCGCTCCAATGCATAAGTTGAGGGATACGTTCCACATGTTTTTTGGCCACTTCTAAGATGTTATTTTTCTATAATGGTTTTTCTAGCCTGCGAAAACATCCGTTTCTCCTGGCTCTTCGAAACGTCCCGAGCGGCGAAGAGTGAGGAGAAACGGATGTTTTCGCAGGCTATGGTTTTTCGTACCTTGCTCTAGCTTAAAACCTATGGTAGACGTTTTAATAAGCATACTGTGAAAGTTACGAAGATACCTCTGCGTCAGATGACTGACTTACGTATCGTTAACTAAAATCTCAAAAGGAATGTCTCCTGTTCGAGGAGTTAAGTCATTTTGAAATAGACCACGTTTTAGTCCAAGACAAAACCTTGACGTAACGTTTCTCATTTCAAACTGAAGAACTTTATCGCGTCAAAAATTTGTATAAAAAAGATGCGCTGAGGTCTAAAAATAAAAAGATCAATACATGTCGTTTTTTAAACATGCATGATGATGACTAGATGACAGGTGCATCAAACAAGCACTAGATTGTCCTTTCTTGGCATGACTATTGTTCAAATAAAAAATAAATCAAACCACATTGTACTCTTTTGTAATACACAATAGTATACACTGTAAACAGTCAATTATCTCGTGGCTTTCTGTATTTACAGGTTGTTAAGTATGCAAATTCAGCTTTTCCCCCCGTTTTGCTTAGCCTAGTAAGTATTATATCTCGTCTTTGGGTTATTATTTATGTACAATTTTTGCGTGTTCCGGGATTTGGTGGAAAGATTGGCGACGAATATCGAAAAAATAAAGCCGTTAATCGAAAGAGGTCGACATATATAATGCATTCAGGCTATAGAATTATCCAGTTATGGTGTTTAAATACCTGATTCTTTTGGAACAAAACTCACATTTTAATTATTATCAAAGAACTTAAAAAGCGCGTAAGGTACTAAATCATTATCAAATCAATACTAAGAAAGACCAACTATCAGCAGAGTTCTTACGAACTAATGAAAAAAACAAACAAGCTTTTTATACTGTCTTTGAATCAGTTTAATTCAAAGGTATGTGTCTTGCTCAGTTGCCAATTCGTGTACGATTCTGTCTAGGTACAACTTGTTTGCGCCCATTGGCTGCGCTACTTTTGATAGATTTCGGCATCTATCGTATCGTAAATATCTCGAGCCAATTTGCCTCAATGTTGTAGGTTTTCGTGTAGTAGCAGATCATTAGCACATCGCTTGCGTCAAGAAGATACCGTGTAAATTAACAGTTACGTCTTCAAGAGACGTAGAAAATATAAAAGACAAACTCACCTTTTCTCAGGAGGAATCGAGGAATAAACACAGATGATGAATCAAACACTTGACGGCTTGTACAGTAAGCGCTCTACCCGTTTTCATATTGGCAGTTACTTTTTATGTACACAAGGTATTGAATAAGTAACTTATTGTCCTACATGCAAATTGACCATGAAACGCTTATCAGCATAATAGGTACATATTAATGAGATATCATGCGTGGAAACAACTTGCAAAGCCTAAGTCTTCTGATACAACAAACCTTGTAACTTTTAACCCTTTGTCTCAGTACTCTGACAATAGTGAACTTACGCAACAGGACGGGAGAGGAAAGACGACGGCAAACCTTGTGTGACAAGCGTGACAATAATGTTGTTTGAAAAAACCTTTTGCCAAACTTCACATTCCTAAAACAGATCTTTTTGTAGAAGAGCAAAAAAAAACTAATTTTAAGTGAATTCCCGACAAAACACGCAAGTAATAGCCCCGTCACGTTTGCCGCTTTTAAGCGTTTTGCCGTCCTGTCGCGTAAACTCACTAATGAGTTAATGTTGGCCGAGAGGGT